GTTTAGTCACGTGAAGTAATACTTGGTGTAACATCATTCAGCACGACATTCTTGTTGTGTGCGCATGTTTGTGATATTTTTAGTTCCTTTTTTTCGAACTTTTTCTAGTTTCTTGAATACAATAACTCTTAGTATGCTTGCTTTTCAAATTTGTCTTTTGACGTCATGTCTGTGATATGAAGGCCTCATTACTGGCCATGAACAGGCTAAATCAAACCAAGCCTCCAAAATGTTTAATTTTGTCGTTTTGGGCGTTCTTTAGGAATTCTGATTTTCTCTATTTAAAAAAATCTTTGAAAACGTAGTGCCAATGCAATTTTTAAGAGATCAAAATATATGTATATATTCAAAAGTATGTTTAACATGCAGAGGTCAAAATGCTTTAAATGATATATCGAAATGTCAAGATTCGCAAGATACTCTCTAACATTGGTCATTCAATTTGCCAGGGACAACAATTTACTTTGAATTATTGTAATCGATGGGTTGATAAGGTGATTGCCGTTTATTTAACGGCTATGTTTATTATTAATCAACTACGTTCATAGTGTCAATCATTGCATTATCGCCCTGTACAACTCATTTGTTACCATTATCAGTCGAGGAAAATAGACAAATAACGAGAAACGTATAACATAATGATTTATCGACAAATATCAGTTTATTGAAATAAGTAAATGTTTGTCATTCATACAGTAGCAGTTGTTTCTGGTTCTATTTCTGAAATAAAAAATATAATGTATTGATATTTCAAAAGAGAAAATCATTCAAATATTTGAAAGCAATAATGCCTTGGTTAATGAATTCTACACAATGAAAATACAAAAAAATGTACTTATAACTTAGTATTATAATTTTTAAGATTGCGTATAAGAAGAAAAACTAACTACATGTATATCAATTAAAAATATGCAACATTTCACTTTTCAAAATGGTATTTGTTTTTTAGAACTGGATCTGAAAAACTAGAATAACTCAATGTTATACTTCATGATGACCATTAAACTTCTTTCACTTTGTTCGACCATTGTACTTTTGTCGCACAATATATTATTGCAAATATTGCTATATACGCGAGTAATTTTTCTAAAACATATGTCTGTTCGACTTTGTACTCGACATATAAAACAAATTTTCCGGCTTTTAGGCGTAAACAGAGTAAGTTATATGGTAGAAATTGGCATCGTGCGGCAACGTGTTCGGCATAACTGTATCTTTAAATTAACACTTACCCCTATCCCAACACTTACATTATCGCGTTTTCAAGATGGAGGATTATTTAGTTTTGGGGAGAACAGGTAGGTGATTATATTCCAGTCCATACTATAAGCAGTTAAGTTTCTAAGAGATGTTTTGTGCTTTGCTTGTAAGGAGCAGGATCTGGTATTTCTTCAGACCCTACACCGCAGATTTATCTTTATATTGTCTCATAAATGTGCAGATTTGACAGTTTGAAAATTTTAATCGAGAGACCCACGCATTGTTTTTCACCCATTCCGAAATTATTTAAGCATGCTTAGAAAAGTAAATATACAAAACGTTAGTCAGTTGTGTTAAGAAACGTTTACAAAAGTAAATGACAAGTTGAACCTATTTTCTTGTTCGTTAAAGATCCTGTAACACATTTTTTCATGTTTTTGTTTCATACACGATGTTCAAATTAAGATTTGTCAATATTGTAAGTTCCAATAAGCATTATTTATAAAGGTATTACCGAATTTAACATTTCATGTAAAAAAGGGAGGTAATTAGAAATTTATTTTCTGTAAATGCTAAGTCAAATTTTCCAATAAGAAATGAATGCATATAATTTATTGATTAAATATAATGTGCACAAATATTTGCAGTATACATTTTACATATTCTTCGATGTTTGAAAATTGTTTTATTTGCGTTACTTTTTTTGCAAGAGTTGTATACACACAGTAACAATATCAATCACAAAACATACAGGATCTGTAAATGCGTTTGAAAAAATAAACAATGTTACAGTATAGAGTGAGTTGAATTGTGCAGGGTAACAGCATAGACATATCGACTTTTATCCGATTTTGTTACAGTTTATAGCTAGATTTCGGTTACAACTTAGACCTTGATATTTGTATATATACTAAATAAATTGTATGAATGATACATAGACTTTAAAATGTCTAGAAACTCAACTGGTGAGCTTATTGGCCCGATGGCTATTCGTCCGTCTGTTGTACACATGTGTCCAATTTCATTGACATGAATTTCTTCCAAATTTCGGTTGCAATCTGGGATAAGAAAAACAAAAATATAGATTTTAAAAAGACAATGTTTAAAATCTTTGTCATCTCAAATCAAAAAGCATTCAAATCCAATCATGATCCTGGCGTCATTTCGAATGCTTCTTTGTTGAAGTGAAGATTAGTTTGTCATTATTAAATTAATAGTCGCCCTTTTCATTTCAGACATTCAGTACGGAAGTTTACATGTTTCTGAAAAGAAAAAACAATATTGAAAGTTATAGAGTATAAATTAAGGTCATACAATTACAATAGCTTTCCATAGAGCATAATGGATTTACATAATAGTGGCAGTGTCGGGATAATGTCGCCAACTCTTGAAATGCCGTCATGACGTTGGATGAACCAATTAAGCTATTTTACGGAAAATCGGTGGTTATAGACAGGTGCCCGCTCGAGTCTGAAATGTTCACAAAGAGGTATCTGGGGTTTCTATACCCTTAAGAAGAAATGTTTTCACATGGCCTCAGTGTCGGTGAAACTTAAAATCCAAGAAAAACCAAAAGTAACAAACCCGTTTTAAATATTTACAAAATATATTATTGTAAATGGAAATTCCAAATTTTATAGCAAGTTTTAAGGTTGCAGCATTTCTCACTTGAATACTGTGTAATCACCTTCGGGTATGTTGCCTACTTTTAAGTTGTGTCTTTTTACAGCGTATCTGTGGTATGCAGGCTTCAAAGTCTCCGATTCACTCTAAAATTTCATTTTATCAAGTTTCACCGTTTCACCGATTAGTAATCTCGTTTACGGCACATGCATATTTAACCTGGAGTAATATGCCGCTTTTCTTGGAATGGTAATACCGTATGATATACCGTGATAACCGCCATATGAACACACCCACAGATGTTAAAAAATCTAAAGTTTACCAATCCATGTTTAATGTGAAGTGCCGGTGCTAGGCGTGGACGGTAGCTTGCAGTTACCACTACCGTCCATGAACAGGCTCAATTAAATTGAGCCTACAACATTTTGATTTTTTTTCCATGTTGGACTTTCTTTAAGATTTCTGTCTTTTCTCTATTTTATTACTAATAGGCCTTATTATAATGTGTAATAGAATCAAGCAATAATCTTTCTTCTCTCCATACAATTTGATAAAAGTTATTGTTGTTGTCGTGAAAACAGTCCTTATAAAGGACATTACTTTTCTGCAAAAAGATAGGTAGATATAAGTAAGGAAAATAGATAACAGGCACACATTGTACTAATTAGGTCACGTGATCATCCGCATTGATAGTCTGTTATATTTATCGTTCAAATTAACTATGTTCAGCGCTCCCTACTCTCTCACTAGGTTATAATATGTTTGATAACGAAATGTCATGAAAAATGTAAGATAACTTCGTCATTGAGGTCAATGGTTTTCGCAGGTAAGTTGTCTGTTAACATATTTAGTTGAAATTTATACAAATTTATCATATTTATACTGAAAGTCAAGCATTTATTTTTATTAAAAATGTAATTATATCATATAAAAATGTTGTATAAGGGCAGTAAAAGGTAAACCTAATACATTTAGAATTATCATGTTTTATTGCTGTGTAATTGATGTTAACATGGCATTTTTATCACTTTGTTTTTTTTTTATTTACATTTGTATACTTCTTCTTTAAATAAATCTTATCGGTTTAAATGTTCTCTTCTTTGGTGAAGGTAATTTAAATAAAAGTGATTCGCATTATATGAAACTTTGTTTATAAATTCAGCAACGCAGCATAGAAGATTTAAACAGACATGCCATATTTCTGAAGTCTAGATGGTCCTATGTTAGAGTCATTTCAATAGATCTATGAATTTCTCTTGAATTTCGTTCACATCACATTCAAAATGATTTTCAAGAGTCCTTTCCCTGAAACGTAAACATATATTTCAAATTCTAACACTATCGGAAATTTTGCTATATAGACAAAGAAGGCCGGGAGCGTGCATTATTCTACAACAATGCACTCGCCGTTTTTATTATTATTTTTAAAAATCTGATAAATAAAAACAATTTTTTGTCGAATTTTGTTGTGAAAACTATCTAGAATGATAGAAAATGGTCTAACTAAGAAAATGATTCCGAACACCAATATCTTTAATTCAGTCGTAAACGCTGTACAGACGTTTAAAGTGTTGTTTACGTGACGTCACAATGTAGCGCCAAACAGCACGTGCAAAACAATCAAATCAAGTACATGTACGTTATTTTAATATCGCAGACGAGTTAGGTTTAACATTTATTTCACTTTTAATAATTTGTATTTCGCTTGAAAAATTATGGAGTGAAATAAAATGAGCAAACGAAGTTTTATCAACGTTTTCAAAATTCGTTATTCTCAAAATGTTTCTTCACACAGTAGATTTATTGACAGTTTTTTTTTCCAACCCACTGGAACAGCCTTTAAAGAATGTTTCTATTGGAAACTCTGAGGCGAAAACAAATTTATCCACCAAACATAAAGTCCAACTTTATATTAATAATTATACTTTTTCTTGCCGTGTTAGAATGGAAATAGATATTAATTCTTCGTGCATTATTATATAATAATGCACGTTTTTCGTTCAAATGCGTTGTAATTAATCACTCAAGCCTATCGGCCTTCGTGATTATATTACTACGCATTTGAACCCAAACCGTGCATTATTCTACAACAATGCACTCAGAATTGATTCTATTTCCTAATTATATGTCATGATAAGATAATCATTTTTCATGTATTATAAGTTACAGGGCACTGACAAAATGATTTCATGGAGTTTAGTATTACAATTCATTCTACTAGCAAGCTTTGGGTGTACACACGTAGATGGTCAAGATGGACAATTCTATGGAGCAGCTTTAAGCTCTATGCTGGAAAAACAAGCTAATGGCAGTTCTCTAGTAAATCTTCAGTTAACCATTCTTTCTGCCTTTTCGTGTGATTTAACTTAAACAGAAGTACATGAAATGACTGCATTGATTTATTTGAATTCTACGACAACGAAACATAGCAGTTGAATAATATATAATTTTTCATGATTTGCATATATATTCATTTGAACAAAATAATGATTTTATATCCCTGTTAATCATTACATTTAATTACTTCTATATTGACAGCTCTGATTTATGAGAATATGATGTTCTTTTGCAGGTATATTACATATATTTTGATGTTGCATTATTAAACATTTGAAAGTGTTGTAAATTTGCAAGAATTGCCATTATATAAACATGATATCATTATAATAAAGAAAGTATTGGTCAATTCTATATAGATTGTCGTCGAGCTTATAACTGGATGGGTACTTGGGAAGGGCCCATGTGGACAGGCATGTAGTTTATCTGATATTGGTAGAGCTACACGTTTAACTAGACCTGGTGTAGTGTCATCACATCCAGGTTCTCTTGGCGACTTTACGCTGAAGAATAAGAGACGCTTCACGAACACGCCAACAATAACAAATATAAATGCGATAGTGGAGAAGACATACAACGAAACTGTGATTGACGTTGATGAAAACAGACAATGGGAACAGGAAATCATGCATTTCAGCGTTTTAGTTGAAAAATCGGGACAGTCATTAAAAGGGTTATTCAATACATATTTATTTTTTTCGAAATTTTCAAAAAAAATATTGGAAAAAAATATACATTTTATACTAAATTTGTTTATTTTTTTTTTCCCTTTTTGAATAAAAAGCCTTTAAAAAAGGGTCCGACTATTTTTTGTTTTATCCTGTTTAAAAAGGTAGGTAATTAAACTATGTCCACACCAAGCCCCGACTTAAACAAAGGAAAAACGGGATTTTTAAATTTTTAAAAAAACCTAGATTTTTACTAAGGCGTAAAGGTTTCATTGTACACTTTTATGCATTCCATAAAAAAGGGGGGCTTTTGGGCCGGAAAAAATTTTTGTTTAAACCATCCCAGATAAACTTAATTTTTTACCGGAAAAAAACAAAAGGTTTCGCAAAAAAATTTATAAAAAATTTTAATTTTAGTTTCCAAATTTTTAGCCTACTAAATGACTTTCACTAAATTTGCTTTTTCCCCGTAATGCGGCGTACACTGCCCCAAATTTTGGCATCAGAGGAACAAAAAGGAAATTTAAATTTGGGATCTGACTAATAACATGGGCCCATTCGGAGGGCTCTTTTCCATGTATACCCCCGTGAATTTTACAATCGGGCACAATTTCGGAGGGGTTTCCAAAACTTGGCAGCCTAAAATTTGTCCGAAGACTTGCAAGGGTTTCCATTTTGGGGTTGAATTCGAGTAAATTTTTCCCCTCGAAAAGGCCGTTAAAGCCATTTGAAAATTTGTGTAGTTTTCTTTTTTTCTTCGTTATCACGGCATTCAGGCTTTTTTTACCCTAAAGATGACAAACGGGGTAAACAGAAAAGATTCCCCGTTTCAAAGGGGAACCCGACTACCAAACCCCCCGCAATACCGTCGGCCCCATCGATTTGCCATCGAGATGGCCCACGGGGGAACAAAAAAAGAATTTGAGTGCTCAAGCTTTGCATTTTTACTTTTGGACGCTAGACCATTTTTTTTACCCTTGCACATTCAAGAGAATCAAATTTCCATTATTTGAAATTAAACAATTTTTTTTCATTTACCTCAAATACTTTGGGTGATAAATAAACCGAGAAAAAAAAGGGCAGCAATTGCTACTTCAAACACTTAGAAACATTTTTAGGCCCACGGGCCCATTTGGGGTGTAAAAAATTTTATCATTATTATAACAAACAACAAAAAGGGCAACTTTTCAATAACCACCCCCCCCAACAAGCAAAGAACAATAAAAAAAAGTCCCCCCCCAAGAAACACAGGGCGAAAAAGGAAAGGGAAGGGTTCCATTTAAACCATTTAAAATATACATCAGCGAAAAAAGGGAAAACGACAAGGAAATCAAAGAAAAAAAAATCAAATTTTAATATATATTTAAATAAAAAAAACTGGGGACAAAGGGAAAATACTTACCAAAAGCGAAAAACAACATAATGCCGACAAAAATTCACCAAAAACAGAGAATACAAAACATCTCTGAGGAACAAAGAGGGCGCCGGGCCTTTGGACCGATAAGCAGGCAAGGCACTGCTGGGGAGTTTTATACCCGGTGCACTAAACCTCCACTCTTAGCCACATGTTTCTATAAACGAACGTTAAATAAAAATGAATCCCCCCAAGTAAATTATAACATTTGTTAAGGCAAAAGTAAAATAATAAAACACCAAATGTTTATTAGAACGCATATAAAGGAATACCCGTATGATCATAACAAAAACAAAATTTTTAAAGGAAGACAGAGTAACAAACACAAATCACTGATCAAAGGCCCACGAAGCAAAACAAAGACGAACATCAAAGCAATTCATTCCCCCAAAGGGAAAAAACTGTCCATCATAGAGTATCCCACTTGGTCCGTCAGATGTAATCAAAAGAGGACCAATTATTAAAGTGTTGTACACTAAGCATGCGATATATCTAAAGAAGTATAGTCAAAACCTCTTTTGGTTAAACGTTTAATAATTTTAGTAAAGGCAACAACGACCAAAGATCTTGCGAAGTTTGTAAATAACATCTCCATTTAAATCTTTTTTGAATCACTACTGAATTTTGAGATTAAATCAAAGTTACAATTGTTATTTTTTGTAAAATATCTATGCAATTTATAATAGCGGTAGCCCTGTTTGAGTAGCTTGCTAGTAATGAAAATATTTAGCTTGTTAAAAACCTTCACGTTGCTTAAAGCTCTAGTGAATCTAATTTACTGAGATACATATACCCCGTCAGATGTTGCATGCGGTACGTCTCGATATAAATGTGGATAGTTTACTAACCATAACAAGGCATACTTTTATCAAATTTTTGTGTGAAAAATTCTTTTTTCAGTAATATAAAGGGCCCCAAAAAAATTTTTTAAATAGGTTAAATTTCCTTAAAATCTCAAAAGAAAAATTTGCCCGGTTTTTCTGGGGGTATACACCGGGGGAAGGTACTTGCCCTTTTAACCAGTACGAGGCACGACAAAAAGACGTCGGGAAAAATCCGTGACTTTGGGTGTCCTGGAAAAATCTTTGACAAAATTGCATATTTTAGAACTTCGTGGGGTACGGATGGGTGGTACTTCGTTGGGAAAGGTGTGCTCGGTGCGATTGCGTACCTTCTTAAAATCACTTTTTTTCGGGGTTTAAGACTGTCGACCAATTTCGGGCCTATCTTCGCACGAAATTTAAATTTTATATTCGTATGCCCATCTTGTGTCAATTTCGGGACAGTGTGACGCTTGCAAAATTAAGATCGTTCAGAACGAAATTATTGTTGTGCTTGTGGTCATTTAATTCTTTTTTTTCGGCTGATTTCTTGTTAGGTGGTTCCAGTTTTTCTCACTTGAATACTGTTGAATCACCCTTTAAATATGTGGCCTGCTTTTTTAATAGTCTTTTGACGTCTTATCTGTGATATACAGGCTTCCTAACATCTGATCCCCTATCAAAATTCTATTTTACCGGTATTTTGTTCTGTCCATTGTTTTCTCGTTTAGGGCAAACGCATTTTTTTACTTGGGGACAATATGCTGCTTTTCATGAAATGGCACTTATGTGCCACTTTGAAGGTTCCATGATAACCGCAATAGGAACACATCTGTGGTTGCTTGAAAATTCAAAATTGTACCAGTTCATGTTAAATGTTGAATTCTGCTTAAGCCGGTGCTAGGGGGCGTGGGCGGTAGTTGGCACTTGGCAGTACCGTCCATGAAAAGGCTCATTCAAACCGAGCCTGCAACATTTTCAATTTTCCTTGTTGGACTTTCTTTAGAGATTCTTATTTTCTCTATTTTATGTACGAGTAAATATCAATTTATAAGATAAAAACGACATGAGAAGTCATCCGGGGATGAAATTTAAAAAGCTTATATCCTTCGTATATGCAAACCATATCATACATTTCAGCTTTGACGGGTATTCTAGGAATAATCTCTCCTTGCAAACAGGCAGAAATATGGATCATTGGTTTATTGAAACACATATAAGATCTGGTATTCGAAGTGATACAAAGACAGCAAATAAAGGTCCCAGATCCCTAAGCAGACCATATTACAGGTTTAGTTTTATTACCTATTATTACATTTTAAGGACATAAAAGAGGTCCATACGTGACAACACAAATCAAATGTAATAAGCATGAATGGTTTGATATTGAGTTTCATTATGCTATCAGATAAAGAAAAGATTAAAGATGCTTTTAACTAAAATTTCAAAGAAAAACTAGAAGCTAAAGTCAACAAAGAGACTATCATGTTGGAGTTTAACTAAAACGCTATTTAATGAATAGTTTAAGTAAAATATTTTATATCTTAAATGATAATATTTCAGCAATTTCTTTAAAAAAAAGTTCCGTTAAATGTACAATATTATTTTCTGTATTGAAGCAAATATTTCGAATATTTATAATAACGTTTTTATATTTTCTATACGAAAAGGGTTGCCTTAAACAAAGTTTCAAGGATAAACATTCCAACATTAGATGCTGATGGAGACATCGTTAAATGTGAACAATCAATTCTTTCAGAAGGTGGATCGATCTCAATGAACCCACCGCCAAATATCAAAATTTTTGATGTATGTTTACAATACTGTTAAACACGCACACAAGCATACACGCACGCATGCTTACGTCAACCAAACATCAAACACTACATTATAGAATATATACTATTTAAATATATTTGCTTATTGAATAATCTATTAAAATTAAATGGTTATGTAATCTTGTTTAAAGCAAATAGATTCAATGAAAAATAATTTGACTTTTAACTGTTACAAGAAAGAATAGTGCAAAAGTTCCATTATTTTCCCATTAGATACTCCTGCTAAAAAATCAAAGCAAAAATGTTTGAAGGGTTTCTCATTAACTGTCTCATTTACTCATTGTATCTTTTTGTTTACATTGCACCAGAGCGATAGCGTTTCTTTTCTTTGAAATCTCCATTGTAATTAATTTCTATCTATAAAATTTCACAATACAAAGAACTGCACCGTTTACATAAACGCATCATATTCTGCGGGCTACAGAAACAACAGTTGGATAGCCATTCCAGTTAGTGTCCGGGACTACAATAGAGATGACATTGTTTACGGTGCCGATTTTTACACAGCAGGACATTTTTCGCTAAGTACATCCTCTGTTCAGGTATTTTTTCCGTTAGTATGAAAGTGATTCAAGTTTAACAGCCAAAAGGTGTAATGATTATTCCTGTTTAAATTATTTTATCTATATCTTTCAAATATTCAAGAGAAAAAAAGACCCCCCCCCCAACTTTTCCAGCTTAAATGTGTGACAATAATTTTCCCTTTCTGTGCATTATTTGAGGTACAAGCAATAACATGTTACAAGGGGCACCGTAGCGTAGTGGTTATGATCGCCGACTTCAAACCACTTGCCTTTAACCGTTGTGGGATAGAATCTCGCCAAGGAAATATTTATCTAGCTTACACTCATACGTGCCATCTTGTGACATAAGCTTTGTAGATCCTCTTTAATTCTGTTAAGAAATAAATTGTTTCCACTTCGGTTCCAAAGGTTTGGAAGGGTGTAAATATCGATCAAGTGGGTGTGAAACATAAAATAGATAAACTTAGTAACAAGTGGCTTTTTACGAAATAATCTACACATTTTTGTTAAATGTAATATAAAACATTATAGGTTGCGATCATTGAACGCCGCCTTTCCTTGTTGATCTTGTTTATTATATTTTGAAAAAAAAATTATTAAATGTCAATAATAATATGTCTGTTTTTATCCTCTTTTAGTTTGCTGTTCAAGTATTGGACAATTTAGAACAACCTTTTTTTGTTGAACCGTCATTTGAAAACAATCATGTTTTTATCATTTATGCGGGATCGACATGGTCGGCGGATATTTACGCTGAAGCACCACAAAATGCGTAAGTGTGGTGTAACATTGTCAAAATATAATAATGATTTAAATAATTTAATTTGAGCAAATAAACGCCCACTTATTGATACCAAACTTAATCGAAACTACTTTAAAATTTGTTTAAAGTTTTAATGATCAATTAAGCCAATATTCCTTTATTCTGACAAAAACATATAGTATTATACTTTGATATAACAATAACTTTTCATAAGTTTCATTTTAGCAAAGAGTAACATCTGCTTTAAAACAGACACAGTTAAAGTTATTGTATTAATAACTCACTATGAAATCTACATTATTAAGGTATGATATGCAATGTTTTTTGGCAATGTACCACAATGATTTGTAAAAATATTTGCGAAAAAAGTACATATGTATTGTATTTCAGCACAATCTATGCATTTAAAGCGTTTGGAATGCAACAAGAAAATGTTAAACTGCAAACTCCAATTCAACAAGATCCGGCACGTCCACAAATAAGATTTACAACTATGAGTTGGAATCCTACAGTTGTGGATATAGGAAGGCATGTGGTATGCATCAAGGTCAATGATAGCAATGGGTTAGTGTTTCAAATAAAGATTAAATTGTTTAAATGACATGTTTAAGCTATTTCTAAAATAATTATACGACAAAATTGATCTAAATTGAAAGATGTTAAATACTCCTCCTGTACATCATGTCAGCGATAGTATATTTTTGCTCCTAGGGGTTTCCATAGCAACACTCTGATTTAACTAGATCTATAGTTTAGTCGCCAACTTTTTTAAACGATGAAAAGAATATTTTGAAAAATAGATATTAGAAACATGCAATAAATTATCAAAAAAGGAAGAATATAATAGTAGTTTATAAAAGTTAAACGGCTTAAATATTTCAGTACACGTGTGTGAAGTAAGTATTTCAAACGCACACAAATTGTTTGATATCAGCAATATTATTAATTAGTTTGTGATAGGATTTGTCATACATTTAGTAAAAAGATATAACAATAGATTCTGGATAGATGTCTAAATTTTTTGTCTAAATTTTGTATTTTGTCAAAATAGATACAGGTACTGTTGGACAATTTTCAAATATGTCTTTATTTTCAAACATTTATAAAGTGTATCAAATGTATCATACGACACGTCTGTGGTTATAGAAATATACATAAGCTGATTGATTAAAAAACAATAATTTGACAAAGGCTGAATTTTTATTTTTGAATTAGAACTAATTTACCTATTCAAATGCACTAAATATGGTTTAAGTTTAAGATAGTTTTTATGTTTCATTTGTAAATAGTTAATGCTCTCAAATTCTTATTTGTATCTTACTTTGTAAACAAATATACAGCACATTTACTCAAAATACTGAGTTTCAGCTGGGCAGAAAAACTTACAATTTCTTAAAAAATAACATATAAAAAGAAAATATAGGGAAAAACATTAAATAAGAATATAAACATTGCAAGTAAGATATACATTTATCATTTATAATACAAATTTGTGTTTAATTCCAACCACAGAACCACCATTTGAGATATTTCTTTTTGAATGACTGTAAATTTGAGGAATTTCTTATATCTAAAGGAAGATAAAGTCTGAATATGATAAAGCTTTTCTGCAGATCCAAATTAGAAATTGTTTTTGTTCATATAATCCTAATTGTGTATTTTCTATGTAAGTAAAAAAATGTTTTCATTCGGAGAAAAGTTTTTTTAAGACTGCTGTATACTAGGATATCTTTATATATATATATTACTCTATAATTACTCTTTCGGAAAAATTCATCCACATTAATTTAGAAAAATATATAATCGGTGGACGCTTGTGTTCTGGTAAACAATGACTTAAAATACTCAAAAATATTAATTCCCATAAAAATTAGATCAAAGCTTGCATTTACCAGTTTTAAAAATCTTCTTTATAAAAACATTGGATCAAATATTCTTATAATTATTTAATATTTGCATAGAAATACAGTACCAGTGAGTATACATTTCTTTAAATGTTTCAGGGCAAATGATAGGAGTATTTTAAAATGTATTCATCTTGACGCGTTTTGACATATTGTCATTGTTTCAGCATATTCATTTGTTTAATTTTTATGAATGAATTATCACTTCCACGGTTAAGTGTTATTTTTTTTTTCAGAATTTATTCCTTGGAGGACAGATGTTTCTCTTTGATTGTCCGACGTACGTTACAACATCTTTTTAAACCTGAAATATTCAAATATTTAGAAATTGATTAATACAATAATCATTGTAAATCAACTTATTTAGATATGAAATATCTAAACATATTAGCATCATTGATTGTCCAAACTATGTTATCTCAGATATTTCTAATTGCCAAATTAATTTCCATGCTTACACGTACTAGATGACACACATACACATCATAAGCAGATTAAAATACTTTTAAGACTTACTGGCGTATATTGTATTGTCTTAAAGTCAGTTCGCTTCAAACGTCGAATCGGCATACTTGATTGGTTTATTACTTTCTAATCATTAAATGAAAATTTGATTTAAATAAAAAGGGAGAAACGACAAAGACAAGAAATCTCTTTACCTTATGACGTAAATTATAAATTAGTAAATATAAAACAGAGTAGTTATATTATAAATAATTATACCATTAAAAACATTAGGAATAGAGTGAAATAAGAATCCCTAAAGAAAGCCCAATGCGGCAAAATTGAAAAAGTTGCAGGCTCGGTTTGATTGAGCCTGTTCATGGACGGTACTGTCAAGTGCTAGCTACCGTCCACGCCCCCTAGCACCGGCTTAATCAGAATTCAACATTTAACACGCACTGGTAAATTAAGAATTTTGAAACATCCGCAGTTGTGTTCATATGGCGGTTATCATTGAACATTCAATGTGACACGTTAGTGCTATTACATGAATAGCGGCATATGGTCCTCAAGTTAAAAATGCGTGTGCCCTAAACGAGAAAACTAAGGGCGGAATAAGTCAGCGAAATAACCTTTTACAACCTCAGATTTTCAAAATCACAATCTATAAGAGGAAAATTCATAACCACACCAACCTAATTCACATGTTCAAGATGCTAACCCAATCTTTGACAACACACATCACGTTTATAACTGCTATTTTAATGGTAAAGGAATTTTTTACTGCTATTTTAATGGTAAAGGCAAGATATTGAAAAACGCTATGGAACATTGTAATAGACAAATACTCAAACATTTACGCTTCACTCGCGTGTCAGCCCTCATCAAGGTCTGTTCTGTAACCACCCCTGATTCTTTAAAAATATAATAATCTTTTTTTTAAATTTTTAAATTAATTTATCAAGTCCAAGAGAACTTTGTAACAAATATCCATTTCTTTTTACAGCTGACGTTTTCAATTATTCTTCAAGTTACACGCAGGTACGTGTTAGAAAAATTGTTTTAATGAGTAAACACTAAAAAGGTTTAGAACTTCATTTTAATACTTTACAATGTCTCTATATATGTGGGTTTTACGTTTGAAAACTTTTTATCACTAAAACAGTAAGGTATTTATTTTCACAAGGTCTTTGAATATATAATGAGAGATATTTAAAAGTAGTATAATTTGAAAAAGTAACATTTTATTTCTGTTTCTTTTATAGTTCTATCAATCAAATACATTTAAAGAGCATTTTCAAAAACATATTCTATTTTAAGTGTATTTCATGTTTAATTTCTTATACTGATGAGATGAATTTGCATATCAATATCTTATTTATTTCCACTGTTTTAGAATAAGCCTGACTTTGTCGATATACCTTCACCAAATCAAACGATTGATTGCACACTTCATGCTACATGCACTTTAGTTCTTAATGTTAAATCAGCAATGTAAGTACAAGTATATAGTCTTTGATATAGCATTACAGGAGAAAATTTGGCACGTATCTTATTTGTCACATATGTGATACATGCAACTACAATAGTCACACCTGTCTGTGACAATGCGATCGTGTATGTCATACAGTTTTATCATTTTGCCTTTTCTTTATCATCTATGATTTATAGAAAATAGCAATATATTGTAAAATAAAATGTTTTGAGAAGAGAATTCTGCAAATGCATTTTACGGAAAAAAGATTCTGATTATCTTTTTGAGTCTGAAGAAATAACTTAATTAAAAAACAATTATGCTATATCTCTTTGACTCATGTTACCTTAAAAATATATATTTGGCTAAATATTTATACAGTGTTGAAAGATTTAATATGAACAAAAAGGATTTGGTTTTTCTCATTATTATCTTTATTATTTGGTAAAAAAAAACTAAATATATTAATGAGCAAATTCTTCAGTTTCTTAAGATTTTATGCAGCAATCTATTTAAAACTGCTTTGAATTAATATTTTAGAAAACTAAAACACATACTGGTGACTGAAAGCTATATTGACAAGTATCAGGTTGGCGAAATTCAAACTGGAACATATAAAGGTCAGCAAGTATACAAAGCCTATCTTACCCTTGAACCTACAATGTTTGGAGACAAGAAAATCTGTTTAATAGCAAAGGATGCAAATGGGTAAGTATACCCATTGAGAACATTTATTAAACAAAAGACATTTAAATTGAAAACATGATATTAAATATACATGAAATAGCTGAGAGCCGTTACAGCCTGCATGACTACAATTAATGTTGTAAAGTTCTTCAAGCTACATGTCAAATACGCATGTTCTTTTCATACAGAGTTTTCTGTATATAAGTCTATATTAATTGAGCCCTGGGAGGAGTTATAATTCAACTGGGCAAACACTAACATGCGTTTCACATTTCTATTGGTTCAAAAGATATTGTGGAAAGGAGTAAGTGCATGTAAAAATAACGAGATAAAGTAAAAGACAATCTGCTATTTCATGTATTAGTAGTATATGGTACGGTCATAGAATACGACGTTTTAAGGACTGTTAATTGAGAAACAACGGAATCCATGTATAACATGTATAAATCTATGTACATGTTGAATATAACTGAATTCAGTTTTAAGTTTTCTATCTTTAGGACATTGACTCGCCATTATACCCGATAGAATATTAGTTCTTTTTATTATTTTACAGAGGTGAAAGTGACAATGTTTGTATCTCAAGCCATATAGAACCCCCAGGTACGATATATTTATTTTTATTGTTTATTCTTAAGATACCATTAAGTAATTTATCATAATTTTTGTAGTCAATAGAATAAAAGTAATCTGAGATCATGTAAAGAATAAAAGTAAGAATAAATGAGTGCACGATGTAACAGACAATATCCAGATAATGAACTTAAACAGCCAAAAAAAGGTTTTATGATTGATACAAGTTGTACAAAATTCATATTTGATGTGCGATCATTTTACAGATCCATGCTCGTTACATCCATGTAAAAATTCCGCTTCTTGTGTGATGGATCATGCCACTGGTGGTTTTAAATGTCATTGTCTTCCATTATTCTTTGGCAGAGCCTGCGAAAATAGTAAGTCTCATTTAATCACTATTGATTTTTTTTGGTTCTTCGGAATTATTGATTAAAGTTCATCTAGTGTTATAAATATAGATTACCGCGGGGCGTTGAAATATTCCTCATGAATAGAATCAATCAAACCAATTTAGATATATTCTGTTATTTTCATTGCTTCCCAGGGATTGTCTCCCTTTCTTTCCAGAATTTTTACAACATTTGATCTCTACTATTTTTAAAATTCTACTCTGTAAATGTTGTTTGAATAAATATATACGTTAATGATGAACTTTAAAATATTGTATTTACATAACGATTACCACGAAGAAAACAATAAAATATGAAAATTTTGCTCGTACATATTAAATAGCGTTTCCATCATCAAGGCTTATACGTACGATTATTTGAAAGATACTAGTATTTGATATGTGTCAAATGAGCCCTGAAGTTAACGTTGTGTGAAATAGATATAAAAATGCCTTTATTGACTAGACACGGTTTATATATAGAGATCTGGACGTATTCCTCCTTATAGCCCATCAACAAGTCTTTGTCATAAATAGATATTTTGTTTCGAAAGAAAAATATATCTCTACATAGTTTCTCTAGACATGGTGACAAACTGAAATATAACATGTAAACCGAGACGTTTCTACTAATGTAAGACTGTGTTAGTGAACGATATATTAGTCGTAATGAAGGAATAGGAGTTAATGACATTTACCTTCTTGATCATAATCGATAATTCACATTATGGATAAGAGCAAACTGTCACAAGTGCGTCCACATGAATAAAATGTTTCTTAGGTTCTTACTGTATCTGGCGTTCGTGAGAACGTTATTCGATATAATTTCACCAGCTGTCACAGTCTAAGGTTTATCTGATGAACAAATAAGAAATATGCACAAGATACACGGCTTTCATGGAACGTTAAGGAATTTGAGAGTTTCAGAATTTGCAGTAAAATTCGGAAGCTAAATTTATCATGTTTGCAGTACTCACAGATAAACAAATGTTACACTGGGGAAGTTAGTAAATATGGTATGACATTCAAACAGACAGTAACTTTGTTCATCATATTCCTTAGTGATAAATGAAATTTTAGAAATTTTAATGAACATAACAAATGTTAATGCGGCACAGTCATGTCAAACTATCTTAAAACAACTTAAAATACATCACCCAGGTAACCACTGAGGTCCGTGTGTTTCCTTTATGTAAAAGGTCATTTATATATAAAGCGTTCGAAGCGTGTATCATCCATGTCTTGACTTTCTATATGGTTATATATAATTACAGTTTAATAATTTTGTTGAGTGATCTATTTTCAGAGGTAGACAAATGCTTTCCTTATCCATGTGTAAAAGAAAATACAATGACTTGTTTTGAAGGAAAATGTTACTGTAATCCGGGATTCGCTGGAGAAAAATGCGATATAAGTGAGTAGATACATTATTGAAAATGTGGAAGTTGGATATTAACTTTTTAATAAGAATTCAGATAAGGCAAATATTACAATAGACATTCATTACTTAACAGACAATGTCAGCCTTTTATCAACAATCGGTAGTTAATATATCACTCTTGTGTTATTTTCCTGACAGTGTTTTATTAAATTTTTAATTCTTGTACAATTGCCATAATTTCTCGACTGATATCTTTATGCAGATATATATGACTGCCCACAAAATGCCTGCAACGATCATGGAATGTGTAAAGATAGTATAGGGAATTATACTTGTGAGTGTTTTGAGCGTTATGCAGGAGTAAATTGTGCGATAGGTAAATGACTTGGTTGATTATTTTCTCCAATTTTATATTTACTTGTTACCCAGTATTCAATATCAATTTGGTATCTCTTCCCTCAAAAGTCTTTCCCTCTATTTTTTAATTTTTAATTAGTTAAATAGAAATATCATTGTTAAAATGCTGTTGTTAAGGTAGCTGAAGATTGTTAAATTTCAGCGAATTGCTAATCACCCAAAAAGTCAGGCTTAATGAATAAAAAAAGGACTAGCTGATTTCCACTAAACTTAGTAGATATATCATTTCAATAAACGTTTGGTAAGTTTTTATTTTCATTCATCAAAAATGTTTTGTTTCGCATTTTATATTCGACCCGTATCCGGAAATTGTATACGAGTTCAACTTTAAATCCAACAGATGAAATTTATTCTTCCAGATAATTGTCCTTTACAAAATAGAGGAACCATAAAATGCCCGGAAGGTATGTAATATGACCAAGAATTAATATAATAATTGTATGACAGGTTTTTATTGTGCAAGAATAATTGAGACGTAACGATAATTTATTGACTTATGATATTTTATCAAAGTAAACAAAGATCGACAGCAGAAACAGAATCTTGCTCTACGTTTGTACTGAAATCGCGCAGCTTCAAAACTTTCACATTAAAATGAAAAATATCCATTTTGATGCTTAAATTAAGCTTAGGTGATATACAAATTTGTTTTCTATAAATGAGTATATTTAAGTCTAGGTTTAACACTTGATGCTTGTTTTAAAAGATTTTTTGTAATCAAATGATTATGGTTAGATGATAATATTCATACGGTGGTATTCGGATGATAATATTAAGTTGGTAAGGATTCAATCAAGAAAAGAACGCCTTTACATGTTAGTTAAGGTAAATAGATATTCTCTGAAAACGGAATTATAACTTATGAAGTCGAAATGCGATTAAGTGAAAACAATGCATTAGTTAAATCTAATATCAATTCTAAGAGACCCTCATTGAGAATTAAAAATAGTCATGTTTAATGTTTGTTGTAAACTGGTAACGGTTGTAAGGTCAATTCATACACAGTGTTGTGTAAGGTATATGTCAGAGCTTTAAATGATATATGGGCTTTAAGCAGGGTTACCCAAGTTCCCCTCTTCTCTTCATGCTCTATGTGACCGATATTTCAGACAATACATATTTAAACAGAATTTTAACAATGAATGAATTTAAACTGTTTTTTAATATATGGAAACTATCAAGTAATATTTACGAACCTGCCTAGATTTTTACCGTCTATATTAACTCATTTTGCTATTAAAATGATTGTAATTCATTGGTTTTAAACATTAACAATAATGAACAATAAACAACTGAAATGATTTTCACACTATATTAGTTTTAAGACATAATAGAAAGAGTCAATAAGCGCTTTAATGATGTATAATGCTGGGTATACATGAAACTAAGGATGCTTAGACTATTCACATAATGTTTTAGAGGACTTTTTAGACGTAAAAATGTCAATCAATTGAGCATCATAATTTTTGAATCAGAAAGTATTATCTTGCAGATATTTCGGAAAATAAATATGATACCATTCAAACAAAATGATACCGTTTTTTATGCTCAATAAAGATGTTGATCCTAACTCAACAAATAATATTCGTGTTGAAAGCGTTTCCGTGATTTTACAGTTTATTTTGTTCGGCAAAGGGCAATTGTTAAATAAACTTTATATTACAATTACAGTTGGCTGTGCAACAGACTCCTGCAATGGTCGCGGTGTGTGCTCTACTGGGGGACACTGCACATGTGCATATGGATACTACGGACACCAATGCGAAACACGTATAATATTCTTTTCTGAAATTAATTTTGATAGCATTATCATTTATATCCATTAGTGTCTTTACATTGCTGGCGATTATATTAAGTATAAATATAAAATAATTTGGTTTTTGTTTTCACTAAAGAATATGCTTTTAATATACCTTGATACTTTATTATATGTCTTGTTTAAGTATTAAAAGAATTTTTGTTTCAAAAATAAGATCAAACGCCAATTGCTTATGATAATTGCTTGTTTGTGACATTGCTACACGTGTTAAGTAGGGCAGTCAGTGTAACATTTTGTTTTTTTAAGTGTTTTTACTTCTGTAAAGCCGCTACAATACACTGTTGATATTGGTTTTCTTTCATCCGAAGTACTTTGTTGCTTATTTGTTTCAGCGAAGTGTGATATTACATGGACATCTGTGAGTATCGGCTTATTATACTTACACTATCTAACAAATCTACTTAAGAAATAAGTTCGATTAATTATGTAAGAAAACTATTTTAAATGGTATAATTTAAAAATAAATATTGGCGTATTATATAATATGAGAAGAAAATGAAATAAATTTATCATCATTGATTTTCATACAATGTTTTAAATTTGTTTACATACTAAGCTAATTATGATTTCTGTATGCAGACAGGGATTATTTCACCTTCAGCCAAAGATGGAAGTACACTTATTTGTTATACACAAAGTGACTTTATTATACCATGTTCTTTGCGTGTTTTCTTCACTGGCAAACCCGGGTAAATATTCATGTTATCTAGGTCTAAGTAATGCAAAAAAAAACAAAAACAAACATTGTATTTTTAATATATACTGTTCGGCAAGTTATTTTAACAAATAAATCCAAGATATGAATTTAGTTTAACGATTGAATAGGATTTCCTTGAAAACTGACACTACACGAATCGTAGACTCGAATCTGACTAGTGTTCTTTTGTACATTCTTCTAAACCGAGTTGCATTGTATATAATTAAATATGAATATCATTGACCATCGTATGTTACAAATCATTTTGAATAATTAATGACTGACTTATTTGCCAGCTCTATCTGCATAAAGAAAATTTCATTATAATGAAATTTTGTCTGCTACATTAAACAAAGTGTTAGACAACAGAACATTTAAGGCCAATGCATAATACGGATGTTTCAATGCGTTAAAATGTTATTTCAAATTAATTTGAACATATTTTCTACAGAACAGGTATCATGTATTTATGTACAATGCTTCCATTTTGCAATTTAAATGACAACTTTCATTTAGTTTAGTGCCAACTTTTGATATTGAAACAACGAAGGAATTACAAAACATCACCACTACTGGCCCTGCAAAGAAATCATCAGACCTACCTGGATTTTCAACTATCTATTCAACAGATATAGAAATAAGTGGAACCTTCAACAGTTCTAACTTTCAATATATATGTGTAATGGCTACGTACATGTAAGTGGCAATGCTTATCATTATAAAAGAAATATGTTATGTCTCTACGTACAAATAATCAATATCTATATACATGTACATTCCAACAATTTCATAACTAAAACAAGTTTAAACAGTGCTTTCAACTGGTTTAACTTATTCTTGATTTTATAATATTGTAAATATAATGAAATAACGAAAATATATCAAAGCATTTGAAAAAGAAATCAAATATATATCAGTTAATCTTATTTGTTACATTTGTTTCAGAAACACAAAATCTTCGGTTTGTTACGCTATCAGCATAATTTCCAATCGTAAGTTATTCTTTATTCTATATCATATTCATATTCATATCCGATTAAATATATTATTTTGTATAAAAACGAAGAACGTATATGCACTCTTACTAATGAAAATCTCATTTATTGTCTGTCATGCATTTTTCTTAAATGTTTAATATTCTCGTTAATTTTCAATTCAGCTGAAACGATTACAGGAAGTCAAGAATATTTTCATCGAAATGTAAGTGTATACACTATTAAATTTAGCAAAGTAGCTTGTTTCCCCTGTTTCCTCTTCAAATGTTGATAAAACATTTTCGGCATTGTTGTAATTTTCTTTCAATATACATGTTTATTTAATTTTACCCATGAAATATGGTGCTATATCAGTCAAATATATTTCATATTTTTTTAAAAATAAATATGAAATACAAATATGAAAGTGGGCGGAGTCAAAACTCGTATTCATTTTAAAGGAACTTCTTTCGCCGTTTTGTTTGAAAAATCTGATGAATACAAAACAACTTTTTCTTGAATATTGTTTTGAAAACTATCTAGCATGATAGAAAATGGTCTAACTAAGAAAATTAATCCGAACACCAATATCTTTAATTCAGCAATTAACGCTGTACAGACGTTTAAAGAGTTGTTTACATGACGTCACAATGTAGCGCCAAACAGCGCGTGCTTACGCATAAATTACTGCGCGCTGTACAATTGCTGTTGGTAATAAGCAAGGGGATTCGTTACCATTTTCTTTGATAATGAAATTAAATAAAAAGGTTATTTTTTCGTTTTTCGTGAAATATGGTATATATTTTCACTCAACATGATAAAATGCCTCATATTTTCACTCGCCGTACCGGCTCGTGAAAATTAGTGGCATTTTATCATGTTTCGTGAAAATATATTCCATATTTCACGCAAACGAAAAAATATCCTCTTAATATCAAGTCTATACATTATTGATAAGATGAGTAATTGTAACATTATTATTGAAATATGAATAAATCATTTTATAAATACGTTTTTGTCAGGCAAAAATCAAATTTGTCCAACCGACATTCAAAGATGGTAGCAAAATAACACTAACTACATGGGAAAGACGTCAGTTGTTATTATACACTTCGATAAGATCAAATCGGTAAGTTTTTCAGGGGAAATGTAACACAAAGATCCCTATATCAGTTTAATTAGAATTATTATGAATTTCACCAAAACCTGTTTGTAATAAAAGTTTGTGGTTAAATCTAGTGATATTCAAAGAAATAGTTCAGAGTAGCATTCTATGGTTTCATACCTTAATTTTAAAAATAAACGACAGTTTAACAACATTGCTATATATTTTAATTGTCATTGTGTCCAATAGAAAAAAAATAAAGCATTTTAGAACCACTAAGATTGTGCAACTTTAAGGACGCATGTCATGGATGACCGAAACATCACTTTTACATTAATGACAAGAAGTATCCATCAGTACCCAAATCTTAGAGCAACCGGATACATCTTGTTTGCTTTTACGATGTTCTTTCATAGCTGCAGCTAGACGTTATCTGGTACTGCGTTAAGATACCATTGCTGTTCCTTCTTTATTATTGTGTTCCTTTTTTCACTATTGTGAATCATAATTTTGACTTATTAACACGAAAAAATTATTGTTATGTTATAATAAAGGTCTTCTTGTAATATGTCAACACCTGTTACACATTTGAACGGAACTATAAATGGTGGATGTGACATTGATGATAAAGATAATGACGATGGTGACACGGATTTAGCTGCCAAAGATGCCTCACCTTGCTGGTATTCAATTTACCATCTTATTGTGATTTGATAGCTAATGATCAAGGTAGATGCACTAAAAACTTAAGCAAAGAAACGTTTTATACTTTTTAGTACCGGTAAGATAAAACAGAAAATTAGAAAGCGCGTAATGGGCACGATTCATTAAAACAATGTGCATTTGAAAGATAACCATTAACATCGAGTTAAATACGAATAAAAGGCGCCCATCTTGATACTGAAAGATCAATAATGCGATAGATAAATGAAATCTAATGAATTAATCTGGAACATTTATTTTAGTGAAGACGTAATTTCGTCGTCAGCAGGAGTGACTGTTTATCCCACACATCCAAGAGGACCAAATTGCGTTACAGAAGCTGCAATTCTATTTGATAGTGTTGGGGAAAACGAGATCTGCTTCCAATCAGCGTATGGTTATAATACATTTGTAATTTATTGCAATTTTTTATTCATATTTCGCATGCATACATTGTAAAACAATTATTCGTCATAATACTTTGATCCTTTTGCACATGAAAAAACATTATTAAGTTTGATTGAACCTCCTTATGGAAATAAGAGGAAAATGCAAGTTACCAACTACGTTCTACAAGCACTTTTATATTACATCATAAATAATATATAATCTTTCTTATACTTAAAAGGATTAATTATGAAATTTGAAAAAAAAACCCTATCGAATCTGTCAGTTGGACGTTAATAAGGGGATATTGTAAAAGAAATCTGTATCATGTGATTAATTTCGTTGAATGGTATATGCCTTATCTCAATATTGATAGAATGATTTTCTTACAATTGATACGCTTTCATAGTCTATTAGACCAAAAAAACATAGATCAAACTGAAAAAAAACGTCAAACATTTATTTAACACATTTTTTAACATTCTTCTTAAACTTAAGAGCATTAATATGGAAATGAAAGAGTAACCCATTGTAACTCAGGAAGACAATCAAACTGAATATGCAACCTTTTCAACTTGCTATTCTATAAAATTGTCTTTATGTCTTCTTAATTTACATGCAAATGTACAATGATTGAGTAAAGATGTGTTAAAATAAAAGTATTGATGTTATTTTATGAAACATTTCTGTTAAAGGAGTTCAGTGAACCATTATATTTGTCAATTATCATATTTTCAGTTCTTCAGAATACCAACAACTTTGTTACACAGTTCAAGTGTATGCAAAAGACACTCGAGGTGATATTTACTTTACTATCATCATCTTCTTTTAATTTTTATACTTGTATTTAGCTTTATTTGTTCTTTATAATTATATATACAATATAGATTTGTCGATGTCATGTCGATATATCAACCTTCTTTTATAGTATTACAAATCTATTATAACCATACGCTGATTGGAAGCAGATCTCGTTTTTCCTAACAATATCAAATAGGACAAAATCAATTCTTGATTATAGCCTTATGTTTCAAGAGGTTTTGAGGTCAATTTATTCGAACTCGTATGTTAGATAACATGTTGGACAATAAAAATTGACAAAGCGAAATTAATTTGAAAATAATACAGATTTCTGTGCACAGCACGTTAACGAGCTAAGCTCTAGACAGCAATCAAGTCATTGCATTATTTCCAAATTAATGCACAAGATAGTTCTTAGGTTCTAAGACAAAGCTTTTTTCACAGTTATATATATATCCACCTATTTTCTTCATTGATACATAATATACTTTCCGAGTTTAGCTCAGTACGAATATTAAGCTTGCAAACTTACTGAAAAGCTGATTCTACTATAATGAGAACTTAAATCATGCAATAAACATTCTATAGACGTTATAAGATTCTTTAATGTTGTTTGGATATGTATTAAAGTAATTTCTAATATCATTTTATCAGATCCGTGTTTAAGTTCACCGTGCCAGAACAATGGTTTTTGCTTTCGTACAGATCAAGACAAGTATAGATGTGTTTGTTCGGACAAGTATCACGGAGAAAATTGCGAGAAAGGTAAACTGTGATTAAATATGCATAGATATACAATGTCACATGTGCTGAACTCATATTTCATGAGCGCTTCTAAATAACCATTAAGGTAAACATATCTACTATTAATGTGAATTTATAAAGTTAACACTTTGAAATGATGTTGTTTATTCACATAGTTTGTGTGTTTGAACTACTAATTTCTATTGTTTTCTTCTAAAAGTTTTGTTTGTTCTTTATGTTTATGCATATATTTTTACAGGTCCCTGTCAACCGGCTGATAACAACTGCCAGAATGGTGCATATTGTCAAGTAGACAATGGTGTTGCTACATGTATTTGTAAAGCTGGTTTCTTTGGGCCTACCTGCAATGAAGGTGTTTTGTACTCAATAATTTGACTTGTAATTATGTCTCCCCCACCTCGGGGGGAGACATATTGTTTTTGCCCTGTCCGTCCGTCAGTCCGTCCGTCCGTCAGTCCGTCCGTCCATTCTTCGTTTCCGGACGATAACTAGAGTTCCTTTTGACCTACAGCCCTCAAACTTCATAGGATGATTGGTCTTATAGAGCTGATGATCCCTATTGTTTTTGGGGTCAGTAGGTCAAAGGTCAAGGTCACACTGACAGTTGGTCAATTTCTCGTTTCCGGATGATAACTAGAGTTCCTTTAGACCTACAGACCTCAAACTTCATAGGATGATTGGTCTTATTGAGCAGATGATCCCTATTGTTTTTGGGGTCAGTAGTTCAAAGGTCAAGGTCACAGTGACCGTTGGTCAATTTCTCGTTTCCGGATGATAACTAGAGTTCCTTTTGACCTACAGCCCTCAAACTTCATAGGATGATTGGTCTTATAGAGCAGATGATCCCTATTGTTTTTGGGGTCAGTAGGTCAAAGGTCAAGGTCATAGTGACCGTTGGTCAATTTCTCATTTCCGGATGATAACTAGAGTTCCTTTTGACCTACAACCCTCAAACTGGGGGGAGACATATTGGTTTTTGCCCTGTCCGTCCGTCAGTCCGTCCGTCCGTCAGTCCGTCCGTCCATTCTTCGTTTCCGGACGATAACTAGAGTTCCTTTTGACCTACAGCTCTCAAACTTCATAGGATGAATGGTCTTATTGAGCAGATGATCCCTATTGTTTTTGGGGTCAGTAGGTCAAAGGTCAAGGTCACACTGTTGTCTTTCAATAGTGTAAAAAATCTGACAATATGAACGTTTGTTTCAAGTATCATAAAAATCCTTCAAAGGGTTGAAGAGTTATGGAGCAGACACAATTTCCTTTAATTTCGTTTGTGAAACTATATATGATATGACATTCAAGTGTCAAGTAGACCTTGACCTTGGAACCAGCCATACGAAACATGTTCTCTACACGTTCTCTGGATGTGGTGAATTTTTGTTTCAAGTATCTACCAGAGAGGCTTCATTGTGAAAACGAGTGGAGTCATCCCAACACACTACAGTTATCATGATTTTACATACATTGTAATTTGAGTTGTCTTTCAATAGTGTAAAAAATCTGACAATATGAACGTTTGTTTCAAGTATCATCAAAATCCTTTAAAGGTTTGAAGAATTATGGAGCAGACACAATTTCATTTAATTTCATTTGTGAAACTATATATGATATGACCATCAAGTGCAATTTCGTTTGACGCCCGCCTGCCATACGCTGATTGAATAACCAGGATTTTCAAAATTGAATACCTGGTTAAAAACAAACAGTTTAGGAAGCATCTTCTCATACAACCTTAACAATAGAAACCATCCATAGACAGCCTTCATTGAAGTGACTACCGGGTATTTACATTATCTTATCTCCATTTCCATTCCTGTTTCCATTCACAGTTATTCTCAGCAGTGGGGGAGACATGCGCTTTTTTACAAAAGCATCCTCTAGTTAAATATTTATTTTTTATTGGTATAATGAAAAAGTGTTATGTGATATATTTAATGTTAAAACATGATTTGTTTGTTTACTATTTACATATAACATAAATTTGTTAAAAATTATTTTCTTCGTTTTTCTGCCTTACAGATCCATCAAGTGTATCCAACGGATTTACAGTAAATATGATATTTATTATTTTTTGTACTTATAAACGAGGATTATCCTTATTCATGTCACCTAAATAAATCATATTCAAGAAAATAAAGCATTATATTCATTGAATGTAAATATTCAATGTTTATAAAATGTGATTTGGTTTATATATAGACAATCAGTAAAGCACTTTATATTTATACCAGTTATCATGAATTTGACAAAACTTTAATGAGTGTAACAAGTGACGAAAGAAATTTATCAGTTTATTTTGAGGAAAACAAGATACCATACACTAGAGGCACATTATATGCCTCAGAGAATTTTTTTCTATTCTTAAGAAAGATCTACCATGCAAATACTTAATAACTGTACAAATTACCATATAGGAGCAGAATCAAAACATATTTCATGTTATTGGTCAGCGAATAACATTTAGGAAACTAAACAGGACTTCAAAAATAAAAACTTTTGAAAACTAAAAACATAATGTATTTCTAGAGCATAAAGGATTTTATATCGGCAAATAAGATTATTCCTTGGAATTGACAATATTAGTTTCTGTTTAAAGCAAGCGTTGAGAGTTATTTTTTACAGAAATTCACAGATACGGCTAAGCCATCATCTTTCTCCTGTGTAATATATCAGCAATGCGGATTTTCTGTTATCCTCTCCGGTCAACCTGCCAACATGTTAGTGTTTTAGTTTGCATAAAACTTGATTTAATGGATTTTTGTGTAGGTTACGAAAAACGCAAAAAATGTGTTTTTTACATTGAGTGGTGTTGCATATCAATAGTATCATCTTACTTAATTTTTTGAATTTTGTAATATCAACACATAAAACAATCTTAACAAACAAAAAATGAAACATGATATATATTTTGTACATGACATTAAAACAACAGTTTTATTTATAATAAACAGAAATGAATAAACCGGTGTAACGTTATTTTCATAATATTCTAGGAAAATTACATTAGATTAATCTTTCTACCATGGAAACTCTTTTAAAGAATACTGAAGTTTATATTTTCTTTTAAGACCCACAGTATATCCTGGTTATATCGATCCAACTTTGTTACTGGAAGAAATTAAAACTGTTGACAGAAAACCAATTCCCGACAGCTTTCAGACTGATGTGATTTTGAAAGGTTTAGAGCTAGGTGAAAAAGATTTGTGCCTACAGACAAAAGATATACATGGGTAAGTTATGATTACTTGAAAAAAGAAAAACATCAATAAATAAACAAATAAATAAATAAATAAATAAATAAATAAATATTTAATCGACAAATTAAACATTCCATTAAATTTTTAAGTAATGTATGAAATAAAAATGATATAAAATCTATCTTGAGAAGTCAAGCTGGTTTGGGTACTTTCGAACACTACTTTTTAATAACATTTGACGTCCGTACAGAATGCCTGAACTAGCTCTTGCTTAATTGATACATATTTGTTTTTGTTTTTACAGAGTTAATAAAGACGAATTGTGTGTTAAAGTAAATGTTGTCTCAGGTATGTGATGATTTTATTTATACATGCACTTTGTTTTGATAATGGAAGTCATTTCTGTACAAAAAATGCAAATTGCAAATATATACACTTTGTGAACCATATTTAATGTATCTGAGTTTATATATAATAATGTTTTATTCTCCAATGCCATCTTTTTACCCGGTGAAATTTTGTTTGGTTTCAGATGTGATTCTGTTATATGGTTTCAAGGTAAATACTTTATACATAACATAATTTGAAATGTGATTTAAAAGAATGCTTTTAATTTCATTAAACTGATAATCGTGAACATGGTTTGCTCAATCAATTAAAGATGTATTATAGTGTAGAGAAAATGTATATTTTTGAAGCATTCATTTAATAATTTCAACCAACTTGCAAATACACAGTGGCCAGCATTTTTTGTTTCGAGAGACCGGTATCCTTATCACAGATAAAATAAGTTTTAAGAAAATATTCATTTTTAAGGAAGCACTGTCAATATCTCAATGTGTTGTTTAATCAAGTGGATAATCAATATACGATTAAACAATATTATAGTTATTAACTTTAGGACCGACCACACTTTATAGAGCCAAGCTTACCTAACGCCGCCGATGTCGAGTGTTTAGCTGGTGGCCCATGCCACGTGCTTTATCACGTGACATCTGGTAGTGGACACGAAAAAGAATGGTATAGATTTTGATAAAACACGTCAAAAAGATGAAAAACAGTTTTATTAAAATTTAAGCAATAAGATTAAATGATTAGAACAGTGTAAAATATTACTTTTGAATTAAAAACAAGATTTATCTGTGAAGTTCGAAAAACTTATTATTGTTGATATGAGAATCACAAATTAAAACGGCATTCTTTACAGAGTGTAATGTTAAAATATGTTATCGTCTTTTTGGATGTCCAATAAGAAGAAAATGTACAAGTATAGTTTTTTATCGTTTTAATTGTTTCCGCCAGCTTTGCCTATTAGGGACAGCATCTGATTTGTAATCCAGGGATCGCTAGTTCTCGGACGAGGCGTAATTTATTCGTGAAAATTGATCTCGGACATTGATTCGTATAGTCATTTGTCTCTCACTGCTGAATCAGAATTCAGTTGGGATAAGTAGTTGATCTTTAGGGGGGAAATTGGAAATTGCTCATTCGTTATCCCGGAAATCCGGTAACTAAAGGTTGATTGACTGCAGAGAAATAAAGAACAATGTGTTGAAATCGATTAACAACCAACAAAACAAACAAACATGGTAGGAAATACTTCATTTTTTTCAGTGTATCCATCCAAGCACAGCCACCTACAGGCGGCTTTGTAAACTACCATATATTTTCAACATGTGACAATTGTATAACCGGCAACGCCAAGCCAAGTAACGGAAACTGCACTGTGGACATCTCCGTGTTGAATGAAATTGCTGACAAAAACACTAATAGAACCTTTTGTTTATCTCTCTTTTTGAAAGGGTATGATCACTTATTTCCGATTTTTTTCCAAATTTAGCAATCTTCAATTAAACATGGGTTTTTTATTGCTTTGATTCCTTAAATATTGATTGAGATGATAACTATCTCAATAATTATTTAATTTTTAAAAAATTATCGCAATTAATTGTTTTCCATTTCCATTTTTACAACTTCTATTCGATATAGGGCAGTGGTAGAGGAAGGCGAAACGCGTTGTTTCAACATACATATTAAAGATCCAAAAAACATTGGTGAGTTATTATTAATGAATGAAGACACCAACATGTGAACTCGTGATCAATTACAATATTGATACATTTTTGGTTTCACACTGTATGCTTTTGAATAATTAAAAAAGATCTCATTATTTGTATCATTGTTTACGTTTTGAATGTGAAAACATTATTTTAAAGGAAGCAATTTAATTGATATTGTGTATTAAATTATTTATATTGCAAATGTCAAATGAGAAAGCCAAATAAGTAATTTGTAACTTATTTAATCATTTATTTTCCATGTTACTTAAGTTTTTTTTGTATGAATGCGAGTAAATCTTATTTCTTTAAATCTCGTTTCATTGAAATAGAATTGAGCCGCGTCATGACAAAACCAACATAATGGGTTTGCGACCAGCATAGATCCAGACCAGCCTGCGCATCCGCGAGGTCTGATCAGGATCCATGCTGTTCCCTTACAAACCCTATAGCTAGTAGAGAAACTGATAGCAAACAGCATGGGTCCTGATCAGACTGCGCGGATGCGCAGGCTGGTCTGGATCCATGCTGGTCGCAAACGCACTATGTTGGTTTTGTCATGACGCGGCTCAATTAACCTTTAAACACTTACAGTAAAGAAAGGTTGTCAAGCACACGAATGCAAAAATGGTGGATTTTGTGATGGTCATGATCCAGCTAATCCGGTTTGCTTTTGTGTCGAGGGATTTTCAGGTCCAACCTGTGAGTCAGGTAAAGAAATAATATATTTTCTTCTTGATATTATAGCATAAAATCGGCTATTTTTCCCTTTTTTGCCCATGTTATAACGGGGCCAAACCATGCGTTAACATAGTCACGCGCTCTTGTTATAGCCCGGTTTTACCTATGCGCAATACATAGAGGGCCCAGTAAACAAACAAAAAATGACGATTTGGCCTGTTTGCCAGAGTCATGCGCTCTTGTTATATTGGAATTATTAATTCGAGGGCCTCAGTCCCATAACGGCCAGCAGCATTCAAGTAATAATGCCGGCAATACGGCGTATAGACATCACCGCTTATCTTGGTTGTCGCCCTTTCTTAGAAACGGACAGTTGTCAGTGTAAACAAATAGAATCTGTCATTCAGTTAAAAATCCCCCGATTAACTTACAAAAATGGAAAGCACAAAATGAATATAAGAAAACGTTGTTTTATTGACATTTATATTGATAAATGTCTTGTATGTTTCTTTGAGAGAATAATGTTTTATGCCTGATTTTTTTTTTAACTTGTGTGCTTAAAAAAACCGATTCTGAAATTGAATCTGATGTCACTGATTTTTTTCCTACCGCAATTCTGTAATCATTCTAGGAATTTCTGAGGCACCTGTTTTGTCTTGGGTAGAGTAATGTTATTTTTTTCTTAAGTTATTATATCTCCAAAGTTATACTTTGTTAAATCAATTAAAATTTGAAATTTCGCTCGGTTCTCAAGTTGTTGGCCCCGGAAAAAATAAAACGCATACGTAAAACATGTAGAGTTGGATAAATACCGTTCAAGCACAAATATTTAATGTTTGTTTTTTATATATAATATTCATCATGAATCTGTTTTAAAATTTTATGCTATAATAGCGTCAACGCACGTTTATTTCGTGTTATAAAGTCTGCAGAGTCCCTCGGAACTGTTGGAGCCCTCGCCCTACCGGGCTCGGGCACCAACCGTTCCTCGGGACTCTGCAGACGTTATAACACGAAAAAACGTGCGTCAACCCTATATTATATGGGTTATTTTAGTCGTTTTTTGCCCTTTCTGTGTCACATCAATTTTGTAATTAGGTTTTTGTTTAAATACATTCGTCGAATATTAATTCATTTACAAATGTATTGATTCTTTGGCTTTACAACGGAATGGAGATCACCTATTTATGTAAATTCTATTTCATTTATAGCAAAGGTCGACAGTCCTATGACAGGTAATCAGACCCAGGTAAGTAAAGATGCTCCAGTATTTGTTTTAAAATTGTCTGTTTACTTTCGTGAAAATACCGAGTAATATATCTACTTTAGTTAGTTTTGATTATATACTCTTTTTTATGATGAAAAAAAAAAACAAAAAAAAACAAACAAAAAACAAAAACAAAACAAAACAAAAAACAACGTGAAACTTTTTCAATGTGGATTAAGATATTTTATCTGGATAAAAATTAAAAGGAAAAAAAAATGAAACGGAAAACAGTTACATTAATAATAATATTAATAATAACATAAGATAATATTTTTATCTCCTCAGTATACTTTTAACTTATTGTTAAATTTAATATGTTTTCTTTGAAATGAAATGTGAACTAGTTATTCATATTTTGGCGTGTTAACATGTTGTTTTGTGCTCTATTTTAATTGTTCCATCACTGAATGAGATAGTTTAGTAATTTCAGACTTTAATTGGTGACATAGCGGTTCCAACTAATATAAAATGTATGGTAATGAAGACTTGCGGCATATCGTTCCAAATTGTTTCAAAAACAGGATCTTTGTAAGTGGTTCTTAGAATTTATCTCGGAAAGTCTGATAAACTTAAAACCTTGTTTTACCTCTTTGTTTCAGAAAAATTACTTGATCGCACAGAATTTTCTTTCCTTGTTTGGGACTGTTTCATTAAAATGACTTTTTAACTGTCAACTTAGGACTCGTACTTTGTCTTTCAACTATTTTAATTATTATATCAAATTTACATTGCCTCATTTTCTGCCATGGAGGCTAGGTTTGATCAAGCCTGGTTATAGATAGTCAATGCACACTGCCGTCCACACCCCATCACATAGAATTGGCAGTGGTGAAATTACTCACAGATGCGTTATAAGTCGTTAATTACATACAGAATTCAAAATAAAGTATATATTTCAACATATTTGTTTTGATGTTTGATGTTTAGCCCAAAAGTGTCCCTTGGTTATCACGATCCACATTTGAAAGTGGGATCTCCATTGGTCAAAGCCCTTGGAAATTCTACGACTGTTTTCCATGGACAAGCTGTCACTACACCAGACACCGCCGGAAACTTCAAATTTTGTTTTCAAGTAATTTTAAACAGGTACAGAGTTATTTAAAAATGGATAAGATAATTACGAAAATGCCAATATATTCCATTTATTTCTACATAAATCATATAAACGGTTATTGTATTTTATTTTTGCAAAACATAAAAAATATGTAAGCTATCCATTATCCACTAAAAGTAAAAAAGTAAACAATGAAATACTCCATTTTTGCTTGAATATATTTGTGTAGTACTAGAATATCATACAACATTCTTAACAAATATTTGAGTTTTTTTCCTCAGCAAAACAGATGATGAAATGTGTGTCAATGTTGAAGTTTCGAGTATGTATTACTTTAGTATTTATAGACTGTTAAACATGTACGATATAAATTACTATCAAACGATAATGGTCAATATTATCAAGAATTTATATTATACATTAAATTCCTAATTAGAACTATGTCTCTTAAAAGCTTTTTTCATAGAAATTAAGAAACCTACTTACCAGATAAGCTATCACTGATTTTTAATTCAAATAAGAACCATTCAATAAAACAGTTCTATCAAGGTGTTAAGATAGAAGACCAAAATATTTTAAAGCTTGACTAAACATGAACTTAAACAAGACTATTATTATGTTTATCAGCAATATAAGATGAAAACATAGCTGAGCATATGTATCTAATTAATTAATTTTCAGGTGAAGTCGACGACACAAGGAACCAGGTATCTATAAAAATCATTTAAATTTCAGTTGAAAATCTATTATACCTACCTTGTAACTAAGGATATTAACACATCGTATTTCTAGTGATGACAGATTGCTGAAAGGACGACAAAAGACCTACTGTCAAAAAAAATTTGAGTGGATGATTCAGATTGACATCCTTGTAAAAGTGCCAGACATTATTTTTGGCTTTCTCAAAATATTGCGTATAATAATTATAATCATCCATCACTTACTGCCACACAAACCATATATCTATAAAATAAATCTTAAAAAAGTTAAAGGCGTTCAAACATGCCCGGTTGAAGAAATGATGCGGTCATATTTTTTGATGGTGCCCATAATTGCAGAATCGCTATGAAAGTAGCTTAAATTCGTATCTTTTGATAATTTGTTTATTTGTTTTTTCGAAATTTAAAACATAATTGAGAAATCGAACTACGTTTTACAATATTTTCTCCAGATAGAAATCGAAATAATACAGAAGGTCCATCGAAAATGTTTTTCTAGAAACCAGTTCAAACTTAACTGATTGTCTATGGATAGTAAATTCATTGCAACGAAATTGTCTTTTGTTTGCATCATGCAATTTAACAAAGCAAGTTAGTTTTCCTGCTAGATCTCTTGCACCGTTTATATACAATTTGAAAAAGTATAAGACTTTCCCAATTCTTCATAAAACTTACTTAGTGCTTATATACTAATAAAATATGCTGTTTTTTTCTCCAATAAAATCATATCCCAAACTACCAGTCAACCTGCTCTGCAGAATTGCGTATTTAACTAAGATACATACTTTGATCGTGTGCTTTTGAGACAATATAATAACACATGCAATTATTTTTATGGCAGTACTTTCCTTACTTTCTTCCACCAACATTGTCGTCTGATGCAATGGTTGTGTGTTCGACAGGGAAACCTTGTCATTTTGATACGTATTTTACTTCTGGAGATCAGTTCGGATATGCCGGAAGATGGTTAACTTTAAATACTCTCTTTATAAATGTTTATAACATATAACCTTCTTTTTGTAATAAAAAATTACAATCACAAAAGTGTTGAAAAAGTAATATAAGAACCATAACAAAACAACATAGAAAGAAACTATGACTTTATAAAGTTTACTTTAATTTCATTTTCCTCAAAATACTTAAACGAAGGTTTTTGCTTTTAAAGATGATTCAACACTTGTAATTATTTTGTGAAAACTCTGGCTTGATCATGAATATGTATTATTCATTTTAAACTAACTGCTTGTTTTTGTTAAATAGGAGAGTACAGCAATTTAACTGCATTGACTTTGGAGACCTTTTACAATTAGATATTGACCACAGCCGAATAACAAATAATGAATCAGATTCCAAAGAATTTTATAAACGCTGTATTTTGATTATGGTAATTAATAATTCAAAATAATGCTTTTGAATAAATAGTAGAATAAAAAATGGGGACTTTTTTAATAAAACTTTTTGTACTTTATATCATATTTCAGTCCTATTTTGACGGTAACAAGCCGCAATCTAGCCAACATTGTACATATCTTTGATACTAAAAGGATAAGCTCAGAGTGTAATGCTGATGTGTCTTATTTGACACCGTCAAAAGCCGGCGAACATATGTTGTGTCTCCAAGTATCTTTACCAGGGTAACAATATATTAGCAATTATGACATAGAGGATATTTGTTTGTTTTGCATGTAAGATTGAGTTATATTTCACTGAGTGAAAACCAGATGCAATATTTGATGGCAGTAGTGGCGTAGCCTCGAGTGAAATTAGAATAGCTGGTGTTCACGAATGAAATTTATTTCAATCTTATATGTAAAACAAATAAATTTTCTTTTTATTTCATGATATTTAAGTGATTTTAAGCATTTTTTTCTGATTTTGCCGGGTAACGTCACACATTCTCTTTTATGATGTCATAACATCATGACGTCACATCATCAAATTTGAAATATGGTTTTGTTAAATTTCTCTAATTTTGTTACATTTTTAAAATGATGTATGATAGCATCGGCATTCTTTTCCTGAAAAACCAAAATTTACGTATGATAGCATTTATTTTTGCCTGTTTTTACATTTAGTTATGATGCTCTTTTTATCCGCATTCAGATATAGTCCGTCTAAAGTGAAAATTATATTTTCTTAATTTCATTAGTGGTTTATCAGAATTTATTACATGCTTTTCAATGGTTTATAGAAATATATCAGTGATATAAAACTGGAAATTGCACTGTTTGAAACAGTGAAATTACCACTTTGATAATTTCACTATTTTGAATTTAAGCCCCTTACGTTCTTTCAGTGAAATACCAGCGTGCACAGTACTGGGTACCAACTTAATGACGTGACGTCGTAAATGACGTCACGTTTTATTATTATTTGGCGCGCTTTTCTTTCAGTATTAGGTTTAATGTCTTTTCAAAACGTTTTTTTTTGCATAAAATAAAAAGAAAATTTGTTTAGTTTAGTGAAAGATCGAAATATATTTCACCTTGTGAACACCCAAAAGTTCATATTACACTCGTGGCTGTGCCACTCGTGAACTATAACTTTTGGAGCTCCCTCGGTGAAATATATTCCGATCTTACACTGAACTAAACAAATATCCCCTATATAAACATCTGACATATTACAATAAAACTTGGAAAGCATGAAATAAAAATAGTTTATATTAACACACGCGTATTTATACTTTATCTTACACCTATAATTCTTTGTCTGAAGAAGTTAAAAATTTTAATATTAGATTTAGCTACATGCTTATCAATAATAAAAATAAATATCTTTGCGATTTTTTATTGTAAAGCTACATTTAAGTGTTTTTTTACCAAAGTTTGTTTACTCAAAAGCAATATTCTTATGTATTCACATTATCAGGAAGAAGGGTGAAGAAATATGCTACAACATTAAAGTTTTATCCGACGTAAGGAAAGAAGGTAAACATGTCATTTTGTTTACTATATTTTCCTCTTTGATATTACTTAACTTAACACATAATACTTTAAACTTTAAATCATCTTCAAACGTTTTATCAATTTTAAGCTCTACTTTTCAGAGAGCCTATTGTCATGACCAACATGGCCTCATTAGCAAACTTGGTTAACTTTTGGTTGATGGAAATTACCTTAAATAAAAATCTTTTAACTTTGACTCTAAGATGTGTTTTGACTATGATAAGTGCAACTTGTTACACATATTTTCGGGTTAAACATTAAGGTCAATGTCACTAAAAGCAAAACTTATGAATTTGACTTTGAACTTTAAAACTTCAGACTTATATATGCCCTTGATTGTACCATACAATACTTGCCATAACATTGTAGCTCAAACGGTAAAAAGTCTATGCTTATTAACCGGTGTTGAGAAAAAAATAACTGCACAGCCATCTCCTTGGACAGCTTATTTTTAAATTTGGATATACATTTATTCGTAGCAGAAATAGTATTGTATAACAGCTGGATAATGATACCTCATTCTCAGTTCTGAAGTTATTAAAATCCTTGGGGATATTTTTATCCAATATTTTTTATTGTTTTTCTTTTCATAGTGCTCACATATGTTGGTGCTACGGGGCTTCATAGACTAATGCAATGAAACGAGAACTGCATATCATCTATTTGATAATGTTTTCATTCTTGTAATGATTATCATTAAGAGTGCTTGATAATTATATATATTCATTTCACGCAGTATTATCACCTTGTCTTGGACAATCATGTGCCAACGATGGGACGTGCATAGCTGATTTCAGATCAACTCCTCCTAAAACGTTTTGTTATTGCGCTGTAGGTTTCTCAGGGCCCGAGTGTCGTACAGGTATAGATTGATAGAAATAATTAGTTATTTTTTCTTTAATGTCTTTGCTTCACACATATAAAAAAACTGTTATATATTTATTATTATTTAAAGAGTTTCGTGTTTCTCTTTATTTCTTGGCATGTTGTTCTAAAATAGAACAAATATAATACTTTTATTTGGTATATAAGATGTTAATGCCTTGTAATGAATATTATTTCCCATTATCCATGTACTTAGGTTTTTTTGTGTCTTGTTAATCATATTGATATGAAAGGTAATACCTATAAAAGCAATGTTTGAAATTTGTGAGAAAACCTAACGCCCCTCCTTTTTCCATGAAACGTTAAGATTGTTAGATTTTTAAATATAAAGTTTTGAATGTAACTAATGAAAATGGTGGTGAAAGAAAAAAGTCTCAGTATACTGTATATTAAAGTAATAAAATGATAATTATTACGCAAGTGTTTAGTAAACATACGTGTCATGAAGATTTATAAATATGATTTATTAAACAACGAGAATGGCAAGGGTAAAATATCCAAATGCCGTGACGTTAAATACATTACAATAGGTAAAAAACAGTAACTGTTGGTACTTTTCTTTTACAACAAATTTAAATCAACATGTTATTGTGCATTCTTTAAATGAAGTAAACTATATAAATAACATCTTCTGTATGGCGCCATCCCAACACATTTCTACATTCTTCTTGTGTTAAAACTGTGCCAAAATTTGTGATTTAGATTTTCTATTATTTTATACAATAGGTAATGCATATTTCAAGAATTACTTCATGATAATATTGTAGCTGAAGTTGCAAGTAGCACAGATAAAATGTGTTTTTCCTGCACAGACCTTGTAGATCTATCATTCTGTGACGCTGTAGAGCACTGTCAGAGTAACGAAGTAAGCCATTTCATATGAAACTCATTTTTAAAACTGACATACAGGTTTAAAAGTCGCATACTTGATTAAAACAAAAATATTTAACAAGTGAAGCTGTACCTAAATTTCTGGTTTAATTTAACACGATCTAACAAAGTCAATGAAAAACCATATTGAATATGCACTGACATGTTGGTAAGTTGTGAAATTATTTTTAATATTGAGAATGTCTATTGATTCTAATTGAATATAGTATAAACGCTTGGTGTTGAAAAACAAATACTGCGGTGCCCTTTTTCAGTTGGGAGCAAACATTCATCTATTTTCTATCTCTTTAGTTGATATGAAGGGCTCATGAACCGTAAAATACAACGTTCGAACAATTAAACAGTCTATGTCTGTCTCTATTCAAAGTAGTATGGCATATCATTAAGAGTACCGTCACGATTGCAAGGACTTTCATCCCATCACTAATTTTAGTTTCCAAGTTCAAATGGGCACTGGAAATTGGTTTTCAGCATTTATTGATGTGCGACCTAAACGCACGAAAATTTCCGTGCGATTTTCTGTTTTATTTTTGTTCCTATTTATGAAATAAGTAGTTTTGTTTATTTTCTTCAGATATGTTTTGTTGAAAAGTATACCTTAGCTAATGGTCATAAACATTACAAATCTGGGTGTAAAGATAGACAGGTATAAACATGTAATATTATCTCCTTAATCGGATTTAATGATATAATAGTGAAATCTGTACGTATGTAATTGTTTTAATTTCATATTTGTGTCAGTAAACTATGTAGCTTGTTTATGTGAAGTCGTTTATAAAAAACGTCGTTACTCTTCTTTACAATTACACACACGACAGAAGATAGACATACTCACATAACTTGGGATGATTATATTGATCAGAAACTGATTCAATTACAATTATTTTAAAATTTTATCGTGATTATGATTTATTACTCAGACTTGCCTGTGTAATCAATAAAAATACAATTACTTTAAGACAGTAATTGATTGATAATGTATAACTGTAACATAAAAGTTAAAAAGTATTCTGTGACATAAAGACTTTGAATTGTTAAATCTGATAGCAATCAATGTTAATGAAATTTTAATAATAATTACTGACTGAGTTTAAACTGAAATTGATAAATTACAATTCCTGTAATCAGATTTGAGCAAGGTAATCAATTACATGATCCGTACAGTGTAATCATGCAATTGATTTGAAATTCGATGATTGCGATGCACGATTATCCCAGGTCTGCATACTAACAACCTCTCTACTAGTAATAAAGCACATCTATTTGCTCAACATTTAGACATGTTACAATCAATCGATTAATGGAACATCAAGCTGTCTTCAGTGCTGTGAGAACAGTTTTTGTAATTCAGAAGGATGTGGTGGAACAGGTAATATTTTTGATGATAAAAGTATATTCGAATCATTAATGTATTAATGTTCTTGAAATGCTACATAAAGTTTCATTTTTAATTGATCTTCGAACATTATGGTTCTTCTATACATGTTTGTACCGGAAATAGAACAAAGTAAACCCATGTGTGATGAAATATGTGATATTATATATACACATCAAGTTGTATTCTCAGAAACCATATGATATGAAAAAAACATGATCGTTAAAGCGATCTAAAATTTAAGTTATTGTAAAACCACAAAATTTGTTTTATTGTAAAACCACAAAATTTGTTTTATTGCAAAACCACAAAGAACAACATAAGGAGCAGAAGGGTAAAGAAATAAATAGAATTAATAAAAAAATTCAAAGAACTTACTTTTTATGCGGTGGACTATTTTTGAATAGACAAACTGGTTCAGTGTTCTTCATGTAGTTGGATAATAAGGGAAGTAATCATGTACTTTTAAGGGAAGCAAAAGTTGATTTTACACCTATGGTAACATCTAAGCCCTTTTGTCACAGTAACTGTAAATATGTACCTATTGTTTTCATTGTTAATTGTTTCAACTATTTACTTATTTAATCCTTTTAATTTATTGGCGACGCCGGTGAGCGGCGTCGTCCTTTATGGAATGCTTTTTATTTTGGCCTATGGAAGGAGCTGTTATTATTAGCAGTTAATTTCATGTTGTGTTAATTATATTTATTTTGATTCGTAAAAATCAAGTAAACAAATATGTTGTTATATTTGTATTTAATAACTTTATATAAAAAGCATGTGCATTGTGATATTATTTTCACGAAATTGCAGGCTCTGATTAACAGCTTGTCCCTTTGTTTTATTGACAATACTAAAACCCGGATTTCGAATACCGTTGTGGTCTACATTGATGCTCATTCATTTATATATTTTCAAAACTTTCCTACAAGAAGAAAGTTCACCTGCAAATGAGTATTAGGATATGTAATGGACTGTTGTAAACGATTATCCTATTGATTTTATCCATATTACGTTTATCTGTTGAACAGAATGGTTGTTTTTACAAAGTGTACCAGTATCCGGATGTTGACAGCTATCCGATTTTCTGCAATTACTGCTGTCACATGGCCATCTACTTTTTTATGAATACTTTACCATTAATTTGCATGGCATAATTAAAATGAGCCTGCAACATTTCTTAATTTTGATGTTTAGGGTGTTCTTTTGGGTTTCATGTTTTCTTTATTTCAAGGGGAAGTAACTCATGTTTACTAAATTATTTGTTCTTTTCTGTCTATCTTAGGTATTACTTACAATTTTTGTTTTTATAAAATTTACCAGTTGTAAGGTCATCAAAAGCATAGAGGCCCTGATGAGTGAATATTGATATATATATATACTTTTACTGGCTTTATATACCCAATATTTCATATTTATTTAATAGAAACTTGGAATTATTAATGTTATGTGCATACATTTATATCTTAGTATATTGGTATGATGAGACTTATAATATTTCTGAATTTAAAGAGTTGCAGTTATGTCATTATTATTAAAGGGATGAGACTTTCATTTAAAGTTATAAATGATAATACATGTATTGATTGAAAATGTCCAGAAACTTGGATCAATCAATATAATTGATAAAGCCTCAAAAAATCATGTTCTGGATTGTTATTCTAATTTTTTTCTAACATGTGCATAGTTTGAAAAGGACAGCTTCTGCCTTATCTATTTTTAATGGAGGGACACCGGTCTCAATCTCCAGGTCTCCTGAGTCAACCCAACAACAGACTTTTCATAGAGTAGATTGATACTTGTCCTTGAATAAATTTGTACACTAAATTTTATAGTGGGTGATTTGTGCCACATGAAAACCAACAAAGTACAAAAAGTAACCGGGCGCCAGATGAAAACATGAAAATACAATCTACCAGAAAGTGGTTCGTTTGTTGCATTTTCATGTTTTCGCCCGGTGCCCTTGATGTAAAATACAAATCAGCCTTCATAAAATTTCTTATCATAGATATTGTACATGTATAAATAGCACAGTTATATATTTACTTTCAAATTGACCTGTTATAAATAATGGCACAACCAATAACTGTCTTAGCCCTTTTTAGTAAAAATAATTATACAATAATAATTATATAAATTGTTATTTTAATTAAGACTATGAGTATGTAAGGTTTGTTTTTCTTATTTATTAATTAAGAATTAATTATCTGTTAATTTAAAAATCTAAATATCTGTCACGGTTTAGAACTGTTCACTATTTAGGTGAGAAAATGTGTAAGCGGCCAGATAGCTCAATCGCTACAGCCGCAGTACATTATTCTGTGGGTCACAGGTTTGAGTTCTGGTCAAGCTGAAAGTTTTTCTCATCCTGTTACTGCAAATAACCATTAGTTTAATTAACTATGCTCTGTAAACATCAGAAATTCAAGTACATGAATCAATATAGTGGGGAAAAAGGTTTAGATTTAGAACTGTTTCATTATTAAAGAGAAAATGTGTAGCCGGCCGGATAGCTCAGTTGGTCTTCTGAAAGTCATGGGTTCGAGTCATGGTCAGGCAGTTTCAGTCAGGGTTTAGAAGTGGTTTTTCAACTGACACATGTTTGATTCATTTAATAGATTGCATTTAATTTGAAATGGACAAAGGCAGTATTGCGTGATACTTTTAAATCTACAAGAAGCATTTGGTACAGTTGATCACACTATACTGCACATGAAGAAGTTCTTTTTTCTTCTTCTTCATGGAACTTCAAGCATCTGCCATATGTAATGACATTCTTGCATGGTTCAAGTCTTATCTCTGATAGCAATTGGTGAATGTGGCTGGTACTCCTTCTCTCTGAATACCTATGGTGTCCCCCTGATGTTCATTTTAGGTCCTCTTTTATGTCTCATATATGTCAATGACATGTCTGCAACCCTTAGCAATAAGCTTTTATTATATGCACAGGCACAAGTATCAGACCTGGGAAGAAAAAATATTACCAGATTGATAAAAAAACCTGTGTTTATCTTAAAAGTGTCATAAACCAAAAAAAAAAATGTAAATGATGACCCCCTTTAAAAATATACTTAAAGTTAATAGTATATTTTTAAAGGGGGTCATTATTTACATTTTCTTTTTTGGTTTTTGACACTTTTAAGATGAACACAGATTTTTTTTAATCTGGTCATATTTTTTCTTCCCAGGTGTGATACTTGTGCCTGTCATTATATGATGATGACTCAGGTATCCTTGTATCTGGTAAAGTAAATCATAAGATTGGTTTATTTACTATAAATTGTCTTTGCATCTTGGCAAGACAGAGTCTATTCTTTTTGGTTTAAGTTTCAACATAAACTGGGCCAAGTCTCCAGGTCACATGGAAGATGGTACTGCTATAAAGTACACATCTTTTGTTAAGTATTTAGGTGCAAACCTGGATCAAATTCTTTTGGCGTCGCCCTTTGATGCTTTGCATCAATGCTTTTCTTGTGTACTTTTGTAATACCTTAGGGTCAAGGAAAATAATGGCAAAAACATAACTATTCAAGTACATAACACGCCGATCAAATGCATTAAAATTGAAAATAAGTGAAGCGACTCTATTAAATAAATTGTATTTAAAAGTACAATTTTTTTAATATTTTTGAAATTATATATAATTCTTTCAGGTCAATTTTTTATTCATAATGTTAATTATATATTAAAAATACATAATATCTTACTTAAAACCAAGAATGGACGCCACCATAATGGCTTTGTCAATTGTGTATTGTAATCTTAGTGAAAGAATAAACCTTCTTCTTCTTCTCCTTTTTGTTCATAAGACACACAGGTGAGCACGTAATGAAAACAGAAGAAACGGTTCTGTAATGACTAGTCAGACAAAAAGTATCTAGTTTGTCTGTTTGACTTTTTAAAAATCTATACCATTAAATGACAGTATATCTAACGAATATTTTCTATTAAAAAAAGCTTTTCCACCCCGACAATCGCGTGGTCCATTGTGTCTGGATTGTGCCCATGTAAGCGATCCGATAGATTGTGACCAAGTGGCATTTTGTTCTTCGGACGAGGTAATCAACTTAGATTAACGAATCTACCATTTTAAAAATATTTTAAACTGTAAACCTACATTTTCTCGTGCATTTCAAACAGGCTAGCAAGTACTTACTTAAATCAATAATGGCTATCATCAATGTCCTCAATGTCTGGCACTTTATTCATTTTGGTCTGAAGTTATAAATTTGCCTATGTCAGGATCACACTTTGACAGTTTCATTTCCGTTTATAATTTCAAAATTCAATAACATTTGTTATAGTTTATGCCTGTACGTTGTAACATCTACAATATCCCGTCATGTAATTTATAGAGCTTTGTTAAAAGAGTTACGTGACTTCTGAAAATTCCTGGTGATGAATCCAGTATTTTTATGTGTTTTAAAGAATACTGACAAATTAAAATGATACTTTTTCATTTGTAGTCGTGTAGGGTGGAAAAAGTAAAATGGGGCGATGCATATCTGTATCATTTAGGATGTGAAAGTACACTTGTAAGTATTTTAACAAACAATATTACTTAACATCTTCTTTACATCTACGAAATTATGTTATTAATGTTTTTTATGTGTTACATATTATTGGGCATTATATAGTTTTGTTTAAGTCAGTTATGAAACAAGAGTCAAGAAGGATTAACAATATGCCATATTGCAACTTATCATGTAGGTCCATTAAGAAAAATATACAATAAATAAATAAATAAATCATAAACATCTTGCTCGGTAATAAAACACAATGACCGTTTCAGATAAGAAATATGCAAATATATATCTTTTAAAAGTTTCAGTTTTCTTTGATTACAGCAATGTTCGTTTGAAATAAGCAGAAGAGCTGTTGATATACGATCAATAGAGACAAGATCTGCAGCAGTATGTCATGCTTGTTGCGACGGCGACTTTTGCAACCGAAACTGCTCAAATCATCTTCCGGACAACCAAGGAATAATCGTTGGATAGACACCGGCTGTCATAGTCTATTTATTTGTAACCATATGATACAAATATTGTAAAATACTTAAAACTCATAATCAGACAATAAAACAGTATTTGTTTTAAAGTTATACAATATAAACTTTGTTTTCTCGTTTAAGGTACAAAAATGTTATACCAGGGTTCACAAATAATATGTATATTACATTAAGTGTTCCATAATCAAGCCCGTTTGAAGATATATGCAGATTAAGTTTTAATTCAAAATTCTACCATTTGAAAATTGCTGTTTAATCTGGTGCTAGGGGGCGTGGGTAATAGCTCACACCTACTGCCATGCATGAATAGACTCAAACAATTCGAGCCTCTAACATTATGTCTTTATTCTATTTATAAGATATTTGTAATTTGCTTATTTTGATAGTATGATGTTTGCAATCTAGTTTGTCAAAACATGAAGATATTATTTCTTTTATAGTTCGATCATTTGATTTAATCTTCATAATGTTAGAATTGAAAGAATAAGAAAGTTCACCAGTTGGCGTATGTTTAATAAATTCCTCAGTTGGCGTAAGTTTAATAAATTTACACTTTAAAAAAGGACTTAGAGTTAGACAAAAGGAACTATCAAATGGATCTTATGATACATGGAACAAAATGTCGATGAGTGATAATTGAATTTGTATTAAAATCTTATGTATTCCTTTATATTATTATATTAGTGTCAAATAAAATAAAAGGTTACTGCTATAGGTTTTTGAAAGAGATATTTTCATGATACCCATTTTTATAAATACTCTGTAAAAAGCAACAAAACCCCAGAAACCAACAACAAAAAAACTCTTCAAACTATATGTTCTAAAACACTAATAGTGAATGGCTGACAGACACATGCTCTAGTTCGACAAAGTGTGTCGACGTACTAACATGCAAGCTTACCGGCTAGCTTGTTATAGTTGATATTTGTTAACCAGTTAATGACTAGAATTTATTATGTGGTTTTATTTGCTATAATAATTCAATATTTCAAATTGCTTAATTTACGGTATTTACATGTATTTGGTGTAAATATATTTTGCAGCTTATACACCTCGTTTATCAGTGCCAAGTCCTTATTAATTTGAGTAATATCTCATTAATACAAAAACTTTACTTTTTATTCTGAAATAATTTATTGAACCATATTTATAAGAATAAACGTGTGTCCTCTTCACATTACGCTCTTAACAACTTCCAGTAAATGAATTGCACTCTTCGTGAACTTTTTTTGCATTTGCATGCTAATGCAACGTTTTATTAAAATTAAACAATAACCAATTTTAAATCTGTTTTCACAAAAGGAAATTAATAGTTGCTTAAACTACACAATGACACATTAATGGTCATACCGCTCCAAAGACTTTTTAATATTATTAAATCTGAAGAAACATAAGACAAATTCATAAAATTGGTAAATCATAAGAATACAAGTTTATTTCCTTTTGGTAACCGATCAACGTTTTGAATAGGACTGAGTTGACAATTTCTGAATTTACTCGATAAAATCTATCACAAACCTGTGTAAATATATGTTTTTTCAAAACAAAACAAAAAATGATAGTAAGCTGTACAAAATGGAGAATCAACTTCATTTGTATTGTGAAATAAAGGTATATTAATGATCATGAAATTAAATGTTTTTTCAGGAGTTTTGTTAGGTCGATCTTTTCGAGATTCGAGATATTGATAAAAGAAATGATGTCATTATCGTTAACACCCGCAAATTTTAACATTTTTGTTGAATTTGATCACTGTTTAATTTCGCAAAAAAAGAATTCTGGTAATTGATTTACGGATTTGATTCTTGGATAAATCATCGCTTTTGGTAAAACCGACATGCAGAAATAAAACATTATTCTCTTGATATTAAATGATCATCAAGGGATTGAATTTAGCTTAAAATGTACTAAAAAACCCACAAAACCCCCAAATTTGATGCCATGAATCAAATTTCGGCATTATTGAATTTTTATACGTCTTTAGAAGAAAAGTTATACATTTATCTTAATTTTTATGATGACAGAACATAATGGTGCACCTACACCTTCAACTACACCTATTCTGGAGAACGTTAGAGATGTTGAACTTTTCATGGTTTCTCGTAAGCAAAATTACTGAAATTGAGTTTGCGAACAAACATAACTATAGTTGCTTCTGTTAGCCACAATGGATCAAGCTTTTATTTTATATAAGAGCGGGACACTTAAATTTAATGCATTATTTTTTAAATTTTATCCTAAGCATTTTCCAATATCAACTGTTGGTCAATAATCATTAAAACAATCAATCTTTTGAAATATATTTTCCATTCCACTTAACTTAACAATGAAAAAAACCATAGAGTCACTTACTATAGGAACTGATGCATAACCGTTAATTTCATTTGGTTTATACTTCTCCACGGTGGATGTATAACAAATGCACATAAACATTATCCTCCGGGAAACATGATTAATCGTCCAACGTTGGAACGAGTCGCTTGGGTTAATGCCTATTTATTTGATAAACTGGAAAGCATAACTTTCATTCGTATAAAACTTTGACCCTACTTGGACAGTGGTTGTTTTGATAAAATGTCAGATTTACAAAATGCTGAACAGGTAACATTCATTTTAGTATAGAGGCAGCTTAATAAATATTTTAATCAAATATGCACATTTAAGCTTGAAATGGTTGTATTTAATGTATTCATTTTAATTTTTCAAATAATAATATCATTCATTTTAATTTTTCAAATAATAATATCATTCGTTTATTAACAATTCCCATTAATTACTTTTTGTTATTGTGCCAAGTGGGAAAGCACAGAAATGAACCACTGTTTGAAATAACGGGACTTTTTCGACATTATCATATATCATAAACAATCAGCCTTAATTAATACTACGAAATCACCATTAAATTAACAAAAGTCACAACAAAATAGTAAATATGTTTAAGAAATCTGACTGTCAGCTTTATAAATTTTATGAAATAATTAACAAAAATAGATGTCAAGCTGCAACCCGATAATTTCCTGTAGTCCAGCAACTACCCCCACTATCTATGAATTGAGGCTTATATTAGATAGAAAGATAAGCTGCTGGTATGGATTTACAACGAAGTTCCAACTATTTTATCTATACAAAGCTTATTCGTTTTAACTATACCTCTTGAATTTTAATACATATGACATGTTACCAATTTTCTGATAGCTAGGCTTTCACAATATATGGAAGATTATCAGTACCCAGAGTCAAATGTAATTTCACAAATTTGAACATGTCAAGTCAACATCCATTAATCGAGGCTTCTATTGGGAATATTTACTTTTGGCCAATTATTATTTTCTATCCATGAAGCTAGTTGTCAATTAGATACACGAAATTATCCTCTTTGTTTGAACCAAGGCTTCAGTTACATAGAATAACCTGGTCCCTGTGAATTTTTCTGCAGATTGGGTAATTTTTGGTGGTGGTGGTTTTGTAGTTTTTACTCCAGATAACGACAGTAAGCGATACTAAGTTATCAAGAGTACATTTGAGCCACCGCATCTTTCCTGGGCAGGCTGTCAGGCAGTTTACCAGTACTAGTTGCCTTCACTTTCGCAAGAACAGATTATTTATCAAGAGCAAGACCAAAATGCCGATACTTATTTTAATAGATTTAGCCGAAAATTAGACGCTTTTTTACATAAATATTTCACAATTCAATTAATACGTACACTAGAACACATAACGTATTCTTATTAAACAAAGTTTTTATTAATTCAAAACGCTTAAACGTTTTTTTCATAAAAGACATAACAAATTATATCTTGTTTATAACATAAAACAACTTACTGGGCCTCTCGCTTGCATATCTTAACTTGTACCAATGGTAAGAGAAAGAAAAATATCTTTGTAACCATGCTGCAAAATATTCAACATTTCGTAGTCTTGCTTTTGTTATATTAAATAGCAGTTCACGTACGGCAATTTTTTTTGTTTTGGTGTTTCAAAGAACTTGAGAGAAATAAAAACAAACTCAAATATACTTTGCAGATGGATATTTTCTGGTTAAATAAGTATGGCGAGACATTGTACTATATAGGTAACATGTCAGAGTTTATTATGTATATTTTCTTTTTATCCAACAAATATTTGCTGAGGGTCTGTTTGTTTTGTCGTACAATTCCGGTTGCAAAAGTCATCATGACAGCAGCTGCGGCATACAGGTATAGACCTCGTCTCAAACTGTACATCAGATGCCCTTCTATTAGATTCAAGGGAACAATGCTGTAAAACAGAGCGAAAAATAAAATTGTTAACAATGTTAATTTTATTGTAAATGTATTTTCAAATATGTTTTAATGAATGTTCTGTTTTTAATGTCCCGTTAGGACTACGACACAACAAGGGAAATACAAATACGATGGTGAAAAGTCGAAATAACGCAGTTATGTGTGTGTCGCGATGACCGGACACTGTAGTTTTTACTGAAATCACATTGCTCTGATATTTACTCAATTACTATTTTACATAATTATGTTAACTTCAGTCTAATGACTAGTTTAGATTAGTTCATAGACTTATAAATTTTCAATATATATATGCTTATATAACATATAATAATGATGTACTTCAATGGCGTACCCATGAAGAATGGTTTAAAGACATTATTCGTATTGTTACACTTCTTGTAGAACAAATAAAGGGCATAGTTATGTTATCTGTTTAAAGTTGTTACCGGCAATATACTTACAGTCGTACTTGCACATCCGAGGTGGTACAAGAAGGTATCGCCCCATTCTAATTTTTCAATGCTGCATAGCTATAAAAGAAAGAAAAGAACTATCATGTCTTAAATCAAACATGGTAAAAAAAATTTTTTATAATTAATGAATCAAAAGAAAACAACACATGATATAATATTTTTTGAACACATAATTCAAACTTATTTATGTTTTATTAAGGATATTGTTTTAGGAATAGATTATAGATTGTTAAATGTTTGAAACTGTTTCATCGTCAATCTAAATAAAATTTACCACAACCACAACTTATAAAGATTGACTTTCTTAATGCTGACTGGCCACAATTTGGTATTGGAAATGTTTTAGGATAGAATATGATCTGACTAAAATATTAAAAGACTGCCCCATTCTTTTATAAAATGGAAGTTACAGATGAATTCCGATGGACATTATCAGAAAATTTCTTTGACCCAGTAAGCTGCGAAACAAAGTTTGAAAGAAATATGGACAAAATGTAAACTTATTTCGACTTTCACATATTCAGTCCCTTTATACCCTTGAATGGGCATAATGTACATTATGCCTTAGACACATTTCATTTGAATTCTTTAGAAAGGGCAAATATGAATTTTATTATGTTGAAAAATGGTTTAAGATAATGCTAGATGCTTGTTACCTGAAAAAATAAGCGATAAATGTGAAATAAATTGTAGTAAAGGTAACAAAATGTAAACAATGTAAGTATTTTGACTTCCACACAAAATACTATTTCACTAAATTTATTACTATAAGCAACACATGAAAAAAGATGGTTCAGATAATTGGCCAATGAGAAACCTTTTGGATACTATAAAAGTACACCAAAACAAAAAACTTTTGAGTAATGAAAATAAAAGCATTTCTGAGGCATAATGGGCCTTTAATGATTAAAAAGTACACATTACCTGGTCAGAATGACAAAATGCTATTTGATCACAATCAGCCGGATCTCTTACTCGAGCGCAGTCCAGACATAGTGGGCCCCGAGACTGACGAGGCGGCAACGCTTTACATAAATATATAAACTACATAAATATATAAACTATCTTGTGTTTTTCTTCAATTTTATTTTTGAATTTCAAATTACCGCACTAGTTGTAACAATGAAAGTATAGTTTTTAGTCAACGAAAATGTTACCAAATCAAAAACATTTGTTCAATTATTGTTGATATCATTATCAAAATAAAGTTTATCTTTAAGCTCACAATATTCATCATTTTTCCTTTGGGGGCATAATTGGCCTTTAAGCCGATATAAAAGGAGAGGAAATTGTTAAAAATATTAAAAACATGCAACAGACGTTAAACTATAAACAACAATAAGAATATTTTATCTTGTTACCTACACCGATTCTTTGCGCTACAAGCGACATTCAATTCCTTCTGATTGTATCATTCGCATATAACATATCAAAGTCCAGTTAAACTACAAATAATTACTGTTAGAGAAATATAACATACTTGTCGGAGCAAACACTTGCGTTTCTGTTCAATAAGTATTTTCATCCGAAATATATTTACCTGCAGCACCACATCCTTGTGAGTTACAAAAACTGCTCTGGCAGCACTGAAGACAGCTAGTTGTTCCATTGGTCGATTGTTGATTACATATCTAAAACAATGAAATAATGTATTGAGGCATTACATGTCTAAGACGCCGGTCAATCCTGTAGAAAAAAATACATACTGCATGATTTTCATACAACAAACAAAATAAATAACAATAACAAATAATTAAAACATTTTACCATGTATACCGTACATGCTTCATCACATTTAACTTAAATAGTTTTAAATTATCACAAACGTTGTTTAAGTTGAAAAGTGTTGTGTTCAAACAATTCAATCACGAGTTATGTAAAGCATGACTTTTTATTGCATGGCAAATCTAAAATAAAATGTCTGTTCCTTTCTGTTCATATGTAAATAACCTAATTAATGATACCATTATAGTTTAATATTATTTCACTTATATTCTGTACTTTTATAAAATTAATTTATTTTAGTATATAATAACTTAATTGACTTTAGACGAACATAAGCTCGTGTTTGATTACATTAAGAGTTAATATTAAGACCACACCTATGTACAGTTGATCGTTTTGTTCAATTTATTCAATATATCAATTTCACACAATAAACAGAGAAACACTAACAAAGCACTTTCATACCTGTTTATCTTTGCATCCAGACGTGTAGTGTATTTTATTATTATCCAAGGTATTGCTCTCGACAAAACATACCTGCAATTTATTAGATGCTATTTCAATAGTTAAATTTAGTGTTTCATGCATATACTAGTAAGCATATTTGAATACGAAATGTGTTTTATGCAAACGCGGATTCTCCTCTTTATTAATTTGGCCATTATAGCTAAGATCACTACATGCTTTTAAAATTGAATGCAGCCGTGTTTCATGTTTCAGTTATGCTCGATACCTATCCTAGTCGTCGGACAGTTAATCTTGTATAACTAAAATAAACTTAAATAACAATTTTGAGATTTCTACTTTGTTTTGTTCTTGGTTTAAACATTTTTATTTTTATCACGTTACACAAACACAAAATTTATACAAAATCGGGATAAAGTGGATTGAACTGTTAGCTCAAAGCTTATCGTAATTCTCTGTTTTGTTGTCGTTCGCCGGAGGGCAGATTTCATGTTATCATAAGCGTTTTATTTGCCTGTTGAGGCCTCGCATGGTGATAAACGAGCTTAACGATACAAATATATTTTACGAATTGATTTCATCCTCGTTTCAAGTCCTTTCTTGCTTTATTCAATACATGTTTACAAATTTTTTTTATCTTGGTGCAATGGGTTATTTTTCACAAATTCAATGAAAGTTTTATCACTTATTTTATGATTTCAGTAGCGACTTTAAGTGAAAAGCGATACAATCGTGTATTTGCATATCTTTTCGAAAATCTCTCGTACAATTTACATATAATAGATTTATTTTGTGTTATGCTACAATGTTAAGTAATTATGTATATATTACAACATCTTGTAAAAATCAAAAGAAAAAATGTGATTTTGTATCTATTATCAATTTATTGATACATCGGCTTTCTGAGCTCATCATTTTCTACGACGTTTATATCTTTTGCTTTATAATGAGTGGCGGGTTTTTACGAAGTCATATAAAATCGAAAATAATACCTGGTTGCTGTGACAGCGTTCAATAGAGTCGCAGAATGATGGGTCAACGAGGTCCTTACACGAAAAACATGTAATATCTGTGCTATTTTTCACTTTGTCTAAAAAGATAAAACATCAACAAAAGACTTAGTATATAAGAATATGAATAAAATTAATGTAATGGATGTCAGTAAATATGGGATATATGCAACGAACAATAATTTTATCATTTATGAATAAAAAATAAAAACTCTAACAATTGTAATTATCGTCAAGTGACTAATAATGAGTTTTTGAAATAGATCATAAAAAATGAATGGATAAATGTAGACAATTTTGCTTCAAAACCATGTAAACAAGGTACTTGTATACCTTCAAAGGAGATCGGGTTGAAAAATAAATACACGCTTTGTCATACAGAAAGTATACAAATCATGTCAACTCAATTAAAATACATTTCTTATTTTGTATTATAAATCTATATCGCTCGGATTTATTTAAAACCTTTAGGATACAGAAGCTCCTTTACCTGTTTGACAATTATCACCCACATAATTGTCTTGACAAACGCACTTATAGTTATCTTGATCTGTGCGGAAACAATGCCCATTGTTCAGACATGGGGAGCTTGAACAGGGATCTGTGTTAACAAGAACACAATGAAAACATATGAATAATGTAATGGTATAATGGTATAACGGCAGTAATACGACTCGGGGATTTCAACACTTGGGAATTTATGTTTTAATAAAACAATTTATGTGTTTTTACACATACCGTGGATTATCAAATATCGATGAATATATATTTTAGCTAAAAAAAACACAATGGCATTAGTGACATGTTGCGCATCCATAAGTACATGGTGAGTGTTTTGTTACAAATAAATAGGATATAACGTACGTAAACAACGCGAATTATTATAAACATCTTTCGTAATTAATCGGTTACGTTCATAATAAGAGTGGGGCAGCAAATTTATATTTTGGGAAGCTAATATATTTTTATCCTCATAATTCTTTATCAATTATTGGCCATCCCCACTATAACAGTCTTTTGTTTTAAATGTAGCTAGTTCTGCCGAACTTGACAATGGAATAATCAGCATAATGTCTATTTAACAATTATATCAATACTGACGACGAAATACTGTTTACGAGTGAGCAGAATAAATGATACATAAAAAGCAGTAAAACAGTAAGTCGTCCATAAAGTGCCATTATATATATATAAAATGCAAAGAAGCTGCTCTAAAATTAAATATATTTTCTAATGACCCAATTAACACCACTGAAGCATCAAACATATAAAATAAATAAAAAGTATACTAGTAGATCAAATAAATATTTACCTTGTTTGTCATTAGCATACACTAGAACTGTGTAACATAGTTGCTGGTATTCTAATGGACTGAAAATAGTACGGCAATATTAGGTAAAATAAATTGGCAATGATGAAATGATTATCAAAAAATAAAAGACCATTTAATCCTTTGAAATCATCGCCAAAATTACATGCAATTAAGCAACTTAGCTCTAAAAGTCATTTAAACACTATATTGCCAATGGAAATACATAATTTGCTTCGTTTTATGAACTACAATTAAAAGTGTTTCACGTCTCAGTGTTGTACAAATGAATCTAGAAAATTAAAATTCATACGCTGACTGGAAGCAAATTTCTTTTTTTCCGACGCTATCAAATATGACTGAGGTTTCCGTTACACAACTTGGTCCTCGTGGATGGGCGGGGAATACATTGACTTCAGCTGATGGCGAGATTACATCTTCACTGCAATGCATAATTTACTGCACCTTTATAACATCGCTTTTCATTAGATAATTATAATTTTTATATAGTCTTAAGTTAATAAATTGTTTTGAAATACGTATTTCCTAGTAATTCTGCCAATTATAATTTTTTATAAAGATGTCGGGCAGTTACATAACCACTTATAAACGATTGTTTGCAATATAAACATTGCCTACTTTGGGCTATATAATCTAATTGAGCCGTGTCACGACAAAACCAACGTAATGCGTTTGCGACCAGCATGGATCCAGACCAGCCAGCGCATCCGCGCAGTCTGATCACGATCCATGCTGTTCGCTATCAGTTTCTCTACTTGTGATAGGGTTGGTAAGCAAACAGCATGGATCCTGATCAGACTGCGCGGATTTACTGTCAGAAAAAAACCCTCATAATATATACATGTAAATGAAAACCAGATGGCGGAAATATATTGTCTAGGAAATAAATTGTATATATAAAGAAATAAAATTTACGAGCTTAGAGGACCCCCCACTGAGTTTAAAAAGCCAAAAATGATCATGTGATCAACTTAAAATGGGAAAAATGCAAAGATAGCGACAATAAAGTTAAATTGAAAATCGAGCTTTGCACGAGTTTAATTTCGGTTTGAGTAAAAAGCGTTGAAACATTTTTCATTTTTGGTACTTTTTTTCACAATATTTTAGATCTACATCATATAGTACACAAGCCTCGGAAAAAATATTTGCAGTTCCTATAAGTCTAAACAACTTAAGCAGAATTGAAGCATTTATTTAATTACAATTATCAGTTTCGTGTGCATTACTATGACAAGACTGTCTTAAAACAAAATAACATAATTTTTATTGTCGCCAGCCAGTGTATCAAGACAGACAGAAATATCGTAAAAAGATAGGTTACTATTTTACCGACCATGAATTATGTTCGGTAAACAGACAAATGAATATCGTCATTAAACACTTCAATTTTAGCTAGTTAAAAAAGTATATTGTAGTGTTAATTTATAAAACATATGATTGATTACCAGCAAGGGGAAGCAGCTTTTGCAGCCAAATCTATGTCATTTTCGTCATTATCTCTGTCATCAATGCCACATCTTCCATTAACAAAGCCAGTTCGAGGCCCAATATTCGCTGCATTGCAAGAGGTCCTTAATAAAAATGAATATCAAACAGAATTTTTCATCTTCATATTTTAAGTAAACTATGTTACTATGTTTGTTATACATATAAAAAGAGAACATTTTCTTTTTGCTAAGTTCATTATATAAAATGTTAAAAATTTTATTTTATTACATTATTTTCTTATTGTATATATTTTAGTCAAGTTTAACACACGAACCATTATCATTCACCTTGTACAATTGTAAAGGATGTTGTTTTGATAAAAGCTATGTTTTATAGTATATGTGTCTTACCTGTTTGATGCAATAGATGTGTACAATAAAATTTGACATCTCTCCCAAGTAGTACATATTATTTCGCTGTGATCTTTCATTGTTGGTTCAAGAAATTTTATTTGTGCCTGCAAAAGAAAATACCGGGATGTATGCCCTGCCTAGGACTATTCCCGCTTTGCATTGAACTTTTAATTGAAGTAAAAATGTACTACACTGCGTTCTGCATTCGTGTATTGACAGAAGTGTTAAGTTATTGTATGGAGGATTTCATGGGTAAGGTGTTTCGCCTGGACTTTACCGAAACCATTATTAAAAATATGGTACTATAAATAGAAGCACGCATACCGAACAAGTGTCATTGTTACAAAACAGGTCCGTCACAATAGCTTAGTCTCATGATGGTGAAAACTAATGTTAGAATTCCTTTATTCCAAATGTCTTAATTGTGTAGACAATACAATGTCAACAATTTCCATTTAAACAAAAATATTCCAGCGCTCTTTGATTCTCTTTTAATATTTCTGTCTGTCGAAACAGTGTTGATAATGTTCTTGGTAAAAGCGGACGAGAAAGAACCAAAAACAGATGTACCGAAATTAACAACAACAACAAAATGTAAACACACATAAAGTTACTTACATTTTCTTGACGTGTTGAATCTGTCGTAGTAGGACATCATATGATTGAATATAGAAAAATATAAATATGTCAATGTAGAAAATTGATAAACTTGAAATTTACATCTTTTATCGATAATTCTTTGTACAATTGATATCAGACTAAAAAACTCAATTAATGAATTTAAGATTTGCTTCGTAATTAAAAGATATTTTATTGTTTTATACATAGGTATATAATATGTGGACACATAACGGTATTTACAGTGTCATATACGTGTTTACCAAAAAAAAAAAAAGAATTTTCAGGGTCATGTATATGCTTCTTCAAATATACTTTTCTTCATTGGGATATATACACGTTCAAGTAAATAGTATTTTTTCTTAACAGGGTCATATGCATGTTTATTTAAAAGGTAAATACTTATATTGCTTAAGCGTTATTGTTGCCAGTGACATCTCATTTGACAAGAGGATTTAAAATTTTATTGTATGTTTAAGTATGTTTGTATGTAAAACCACGAGGGAAATGGTGTGTGTCCTACAAATGTAATTTTAAAGTAACACAGGGTTCCCTCTGGGTCAAAATTAGTTTGCGCCACCAAATTCGCCAATCAGAAAAAGTTGGAGCCAATGGCTCCAAAGTTGGAGCCAATAATTCTGCAAGGGAGACCATGGAGACATGCCTATCTTTGCTAAGATATGCTAGCAGTTATATATCATTATGATTACAATACAAACACATATTTATAATATTTCATTTTATTACAGCTGCACATGTTTATTATTTAAAATATAGACATATTATTATGTGGTTTTCAAATTCCATTTAAATAAATACACATGACATCATAAATGTAATCAAAAACATCGTGTTAAGTTAGTCATGGGAGGTCCTGTTTTCCACCGTTTTGCCAGTATAGCAGTTCTTCTCAAGGCTGGAATGAGCCAAGATCTTTCCCAGCTTGTGTCCTACAAATGTAATTTTAAAGTAACTAAACATATACTTAACATGACTGAAATATTTAATGATATTCTTATAAACTGTTAAAGTGATACTCACAATTGGTAACAATACTGATATTGTAGCAAACACTCGATGTTGATGATCTGAAATAGTAATGTTAATTCAAGATATACACTACAGATCAGAATTATCAATGAGTTTATTAATAAAAATAGTACTCGTTTATTTTGTCATTATTATTAAGTCATTCTTTAAATATTTGAAATGAAACATTTAAAATTAATTTAAAATTCCGAGAAAAGTAAAATTCAAATTTAAAGAGAAATATTTAGTTTTAAATAAATAGAATTTTGTGGGAAGGCCTTTACTTCCTAATTAACCATGATGACAGTACAGGTATCATATGCGGAAATACTATAGAATAATATATTACAATTGTTGATAAATTGATCCACTATCATATATATGCAAATAATGAATTGTTCTAAAACAAAATATAATAATTCATCATAAAAATGTTCACACTTGTCCTAGAACAAAAAACCCTTGTTCATCATATTGATATATATATCTTATATAATTATACTTAATCAGTTATATTGTATCAACATCTTTGTTTCCAAACATATCTCATAATAATATCAAATTGATACCTTTTTTTATATCAGCATTGTAGATCAACCCACTTAAAACAATATGAATAAATGGGGCTTACGTATAAGTCGCGACAACACAGACATGCTGGGACTCTGTACTGTTAAGTTGTCCACTGATTGAAACATCTGTTGTATAAACAGAATCAATTCCTGGAAGGACTGATGATTTTTTCGCTTGTCCTACAGTGGTGATGCTTCGCAATTGTCTGGATGTTTCTATGTCAATGGTTGGTACAGAACTATATATTCAGGAACAACAATAATAACACTGAGTTGTACTTTTCTTCTTCAGTCATCGAATACAATTATTTAAGTCATAATCAACCAACACATTAGATAGAGAAAAAGAATAAACGGATAAACTTACGTCAAGGGAGTTCAATAAATCGGATGCAAGGAGAATGAAAGTAAGAGGATTATCTCATTTAGTAATTATGTGTTATGAATCGAAGTGGGTACCGAAAGGAATTGTCATGTAATACATCGCAGGATATTTAAGATAGGTGTGTCCAGCTAGTCAAATTTAATATAACTAAATGGAATCTTGAAACAACAAACAAAATGTATGTGACCAAATGTAAACTATAAAATGTCTGGTTGAATTTATAGATAATTTACATATTAGAACTACTTCTTAGCTATGAAACTTTACGAAAATAAAAGGTACGTGTGTATGATAATATTTACCTTAATTTACCAGTGACGTAAACACGCAAAGAACACTGTGATATCAAGCCGCTTTCTGAGTGACAAATAAGTCTACTTCCATCTTTGACTGTAGGTGAAATTATCCCTACCTATTTATAACAGAAACATGAAAAATATTTATTATTTATAATTGAAATCTGATTAGGAAAAAACAAAAGCATAGCTATTGATAAGAATGTGTTTCTGTGAAAGCACCCAATTTAATTTTGGTTAAGATCACTTGACTTACTAAGGTGTTACTGTATAAATAAATTCTAATTATTTCCTAATAAGATCTACTTCATTTAAAAAAACATTTGTTTATCATTTTGTCACAAAATCACGCAGGGCCTCTAAAATCTAACTTTTTTTGTTATAAGGCGTAAGTGTACACAATGACAAGCAGCATTTTTTCGGCCATTCGTTTTGATATAGGATGTTCCTGAAAAGGATATAGTCATTGACTCCGTGTTTCATGTAATTAGTTTCATCAAAATCATTTCTATCAAAATATGATGCAAATGACAATTTTTAAGGCAAAGTTGCAAATGTTTCAGGCTTAGTTTAATTTATTCAGTTATTTGACAAAGGTGCTTAATGCAAAGAACAGCCCACGTCTCTAACACCGACATAAGAATGACATAATCATTTAGCATGTAACATTGGTCTTTCATTTAGAATTATGAAACATTTAAGCATGTTTTCATAACTGTGGTTTAAAATTTCAAAATAACATTTGTCGGTTTAACATGAAGCGGCGAATGGTTCTTAAGACACTATAGTTTGTATCTTTATCGAGGAAATTTTGGGGCTCAAAATACGGAATTCGGGGAGGAATCTGACTTACTGAAGCCTATGCAAAGCATTCCTTATTCAAATACATATCACACACATTACATATCCTTAGGGTGTTAAATATTTAAGTATGAATACAACAAAACATGTATTAATTTAGTCAAAAACCTTTTACAATTCACTGTAATTTCTGGTTAATCCCATAGTTTTACCTAAATGTTTTGATTTTTACTCTAAATATATGTTAATGTTCTGATACTCACAAAAACCGAGGTTATGTCACACTTTGCTGGAGAAAAGAAATCAACATCAGGTTTACACTATACTAAGGGTTTATCTTATGTCATTGAATAAAAACTTAACATGTCTTTACGTCTTTAAACGAACAATCAGCATCGACATCATGTTCATATTTGGAAAGAAAAGAAAATAAAGAAATAGAGAACTACCATACTATTGATAGAGAATGTATAATATATATAAAAATATAAGATATCTTTTGCAGACTCTTGCGCGAAAATATTTCGAAATATTCATTAATAAATATGATTTGGAAGATGACATCCTAAAAAATAAGAAAACAAAACAAAATACACACGTGTCTGACATTGATGTCCATAATATCCATAAGGGCACGTACAATGTCCTTCAGCGGAGCACAGACCACGCCCATTACACGAGTGGTTTGTACATCCGGCTTAAAGAGTGATCATATACTTGTATATATCTGTCATGAAAGTTCATGTCTCCTTATACATATGTATGTACCTCAATATAAAAAACCCGGATGCTTCGCGTTTAGTGTTTCAATGTATAAATCAAGATAAGAAAGCGAAGCAATTAATTAAAAATATGTATTTACAGAGCATTGATAGACAATAGATGATTAATATTCTTTGATTCAATCTGGTAATTTATCTTTTGGTCTTAGATTTTTAACTGTTGACTATGTTTTGATTGTCAAAATCATTGAGCCATCAATCTTGTTTTTAAAGAAAAAAGACAAGATAAAATAAAAACAAGCTATTCAAAGAAGAGAAGCAGACTCTTACTATCAGTAATTTTTATTCTTGCAGTATAACACTAGAGAGTGCACAATCGGACTTATTTAATCCTTCATTCTGTGGACAAGTGCTTTAAATGCTTGCAGAATAAGGTGCATTAGCGCTATTCATGAATTAAGGTATATCGTAAAAATGATATTAGAAGCTCCGTAATTACATTCAACTTTTTTTCACTGCGTCCTGAGTCATACATGTAAAAAGAACAACAATGGTCGTGCTGACAAAAATCTATTTGTTAATGTATACCTGCGTGCGCAGTTATTATGCAATAATTAAATATAAATCATTCTTTGTACAAAATACTTATTCATATTCTCTGTCATTTTTATGTTTTGAAATAAACAAATATATAACAGTGTAATTGTAATAGTAACATATATTCATCTACAGTATGTAAAGATATCCTCTCAATGGCAATAACATAAGGACTTTGGCGACGATGGCGACTTTGGCGTTTATGGCTTCTGTAGATTCAATATTTAGGGGGCAGGGGACATATTCGAATGATGGCTCCGGTCAAATATTTTAATAACTCAGACATGGTGTTTTGATGGTACTGATAACTTCTGATATTTCTCTGTCATTGTAATTCTTTCTTATTTGTGTGTAGGAAATGAGAAGTATTTTGGGTTTTTACCCGAAACTAAGCATTTTGGTAGCTTTGTATGTATTTCTGACTCTCCGAATGGAGGTGAAAAAGTTAAAAATCAAGCTTTGACAGTTGGCGCCAAACAAGTAAGAAATTTCAGATCAATTTTGTGAAAAATCTAAACGTATGACAGACACTATTGGTCATTTCTGAAAATGCCATAGCTTGCACTGCGTGTTGCTGATATTTTTAAAGGAATCGGGCGGATTCTGGTGTATGCTGCACCTTCTGGCATGAAGATTGCCCATATTGGTATATTTTAGGTGTGATTTTCGCTGGGTGGGGGTAAATATAAATTGCTGTCAGTCATTTTTTGAAGGAGCAATGCATGCAAACTATTATTTTCTTCAATGTATGTCATATATCATTGAATAATGCTGTGCAACTGGTTATCTGCCTGTGAAACAGATTTTGAAATATTTGGAATTGTGTTTCTGGTCACACTGAAATAAAAAATTGTTCATTTTTAGGTCCCCTGCCCCCTTATATCCCAAATTTAGATGTGATCTTCGGATTGAAACATATACGCGTACAAAACTTTATATAGGATGTCTAGTGAAGACGGATTTTGAAGAACACCGTTATATTCATTTCAAATCACATTATTTGCGAATTCGAAAAAAGAAGAACAACAAAAAAACTTCAGACATAATCTGAACACTTTCGTTTCAAGTGACCTTTCATGCAAAAATGTTATATTTTTCGAAAAAGTATTTAATGTAGGGAAATTATGCATGCACGAGACACTTATACAGGGTTACTACTTCCTTCTCTTTTACTGTTTGTCGTGCAAACATTACCTCGGCGCCCTTATCATAACAAACGTTCCTGTAAACATTTGCTCTTACGGCGCCGGCGCATTTATGTTACCCATTATTTAGTCGGCTAAAACAGGAAAATAAATTTATATTCATATTTTCATTAAGAACATGCATAAATCGGATTTAATACAAATAAGTAGCAATGTTACATGTTTTCATGTCTTGGACTTTCTTAAGGGATTTTTATTTTCTCTTTTTTGTTGCGATGTTGTATGTTTTTTAAGTACATGATAAAACTATTTCAAACCTATTTGTAAAATATTGTTTACATATGAAATACCTTACCTTCGAGGCACCTCACAGACTTTGGACTTTGTGTTGGACATTTATCTGCAATATAAAAGAGAATATAAAACATACGTTTAGGTTTATTTATATATATATTCGGGAAGTAACGATTAAAAGGCAAAACAAAACGCTATAAACGTTTGTCAAAAGCTTGCACATTCATGCAGTCTAACCAGGCTGTAGGCTCTTGGCTTTGAGTTTTCTCTTGATACCCCTGAATTAATAACAAATACAATGTCGTTTTGAAAATTCTACGTTGGACAATTCCATTTTAGATACTCAACATACTTAAGTAAGCTGCACACCAGCTATAAGTATTAGAGAAGAATATACGGATCAGACCACACGCATTAAAAAAGAACTTTGTCATTTAATACTGGACATTACAATGGCGTAATGATTTGAATAAACATCCCGTTTTTAATGACTTTATCTAAAGCTTTTGTTTCGAGAAGTCTTTGTAATCAGATCTTGGTATCTCAATTCAGAACATGCATGAATTTTGCAAACTACTTAAAAATTGAAAGGTTAACAAGCTTGAAAATAGTAAAAAAGTGAAAGTTGAAGATTCTTTTTTTGAAAAAAATTTGAGAGATAATTAAAGGTGCAATATCCCTCACTCTCCCAGAACCTGCATAATCAAAATTCCCAGTCTTAAACACTTAGGATATTGGAATCAATGGCAAGAAAGGTGAACAAAAATAAACACCGGAGGACAACAGTCTATAGATGCCACTTGCTTTTGTGAGTAAAAGAAAACTTTTTTAAAAAAATGGAGATTATTCGAATGCAAAGAAAACAATAGTGAGAGGGTGCAAAATTGCAGACTCTGTTTGATTAAGTCTTTTAGCCTGTTTATGAGAGATAATGAAATAAAAATATCTTTCGCCTCCCAACAAAGCATCAGCTTAAGCAGCATTCATTCTTTAACACAAAAATATTGAAATCAATGATCAATTGTTTTTTTAAGAACCACGTTGCTTTGTGTATGCTTTCTAATTTTACCTGCCTTGAAAAAGGCAGATTTTATAAAATTTATCTATCTAAGAATCTGAATATTTTGTACTCTATCATATTTCCCACAGTTTTATGTTTAGCCACTTTATGAAATGTACAATATATATTGTTTTATCATCTTTTTTTTTTAAATCCACAAGCAACAATTATAATCTGATCATAATGCATGTATACTACTCATACTATGACGAATTATAAATATTTACGACGACACTATTATCTCTATATTCTGATGCTTACTAATTTATATTAATATATAAAGTAATGTTTTACCTATCGTACAGTTAACTCCAGCATAACGTCCGAAACATTCGCAAGTATAATTTCCAACACCGTCTTTACACATTCCATGATCATTACAAGCACTTAGAGGGCAGTCATTTATATCTGAATTAGAGCACTTAACAAAAAATAAACTTCATAGCAATATTTTTATTTTTTTCTAATGAAGGAAATGCGGTACATTTACGACTGATAGGCGACCATTTCGTGTAATTTTAAAAAGTTAAGTAGTGTAATAATGATGACTGGAAAATAGAAGTTCTTCTTACTTGTACACACACATTATATTATCTATTTTACTTACTTGTTTCGCATCCTCTCCCACTAAATCCAGGTTTACAATAACATAGCCCCTTGTAACAAGTATACGAATGTTCATTTACACATGGATCTGGATCACATAGGTCTATAACTGAAGATGTATTCAATTGACATTTTTCAATGTATAAACCTGTAATCTTCTTCACAAACCACAGATAACCATATTAGATTAATGACATTAAGGACAAAGTAAAATTATATGACACTGTGCCACGCATATGTCTTTTTTATATTTCTAAATTTATTTTCAAGTATTTATTTCAACAATATTGCAGACATTCACTTTATCAAATATGTTAACATGTATCTATTAATACAATTAAAAATGTGTATTAAAGTTATTAAACTTATATCTATATTATATCCGAATTTCGTTATTTAATATGAGAATTTAATTTCTAATAGACATATAAAAACAAAATTATCTCAAAACGTGTACTGTGACATTATGGAAAGGAATGGTGATAAGTCACAAAATAAAACGTTTAAAATCGGAGGCACTATTGTATTGAATTCAGTCTGTTTAGGTCCGTGAACCCTTGACTTTAATTAGTATTGAGTCCTCGACACAGAAACTTTTAGGCAGATAGCAATACCTTTCAACCTTACTAATAAGAATTTAATTGCGTAAAGCTTTATTTACTCGTTTGCTCTACATGTTGGTTGGGAAAGATTTTATACAACCTGCATACCAATACAATATATCGAAATTACAGATTTGTGCAATAATCCCTATTTGCCTGAAGACCATATATTATTCATTCTGATACAAACAATAAAAAATTAAATAGATCTAATATTTAAACACTAAACAGTTTCTAGTCAACCATGAATATGTTTTTGTTTTCATAAATGGAGAGATGCTGCTAGTACAAATATCGAAGGTTTTGAATGCAGCCAGTTAGAATTTTTTCATATATATTTCTGTGTTTAGTAAACTGCAACAAATAATGAAATATGGTTTCTATTTATCAAAAGGATGAGCATGGTGGGATATTTACAATATATCTTCTACATAAATCCTCGTTAGATAAACTACATTTAAATCTTAACTGTGCGTTAAGTATCTGCTTTCTGACCAAAGATTGGACCTTGAAATTTTTTTAAAATGACAGTAATTTCTAGATGGGTTAGATTGCTTAAAAAGTGACGTGTGTTTAGCAAGTATCAAGTATGCAGATGTAAAAAAAATGAACTATTCATTTTGCAAGTGAACAGGCTAGAACAGGTACAGCTTCTCGAAGGAGTTTATTAGTTTAGATTGGCCACCTGTTTTTGAGGGATATATGGAAGATATAGAGTCAAATATATCTCCTGTTGCGTAATGTTAATGCTAGATATGACTTGTGTATTAGTTTAACATAGGTAGTAATTGTTGTTTCTATATCATTTAATTTTGATTGTGTGCTTAAGTTTTCCTTTTGAATTTTTACCAAATTTGATGACGTTGCAATGATACTGCTGCGATTTAGAGTAGAGGTTGCTTGCTTGTTGAGATTTTGCTACATTTGAAATACTCTATACTGATTTTGCAATTGACTGTTTATTTAATTTACAGTTACAATGCTGTTAAAGCATTTTTAATTTTTTTTTAATTTGGCCCGATGGAAATTTTAAAACGTAATATTGGGCTTGATTATGAAGTTTTAGTTGTTTCCTACTAAGTTTTCAAAAGCCATTTTATTTTTATATAAATTATATCAATTGGTCTTACTGTTATTCTTTACTGTAACTTAAAGATAAAGATTCCGCTAAATCATATAAATGTTCGTTATATAAAAGATCAAGTTTGATGAGCTTAATTTTCGACTTAAAGGTATCGTAATCCGTATATATACTATAGCCAAAAATGTCTTTTTGAAATTGTTGTTTCATTTTTATTAATTCCAACTGACAGAGATGTAAATAGCACAAAAAGAAGTCTGAGCTATCATGAACATGTTAAGTGTTATATAATACTTACTGTTTTCACATGTTTTGCCGTATGTTAGTGGTTTACAAGTGCATTTAAAATCTGCAGTCTTAATGTCAGTCGCACAGGCACCGCTGTTTTTACATGGGGCAGACATGCATACATCTGTAATTGCATTGATAAAAATTGCTTGCTATATAACGTCTATTATATGTGTTAAAATTGCCTATAACAGCTTTTAATTTGAAAAAAATAAAGACATACACATTCAACAGCACTAAATCCCTTCTCTTTCGATAAAAAGGTTATGAGCCTCATATTTGAGGAGGCTAAATATAATAAAATTTACATTTGAGTTGTATTTTTAGTTGTTCATATTTTTCATTTTCAAGTTACCGGTAATATAAATAAACAAGAGGGCCATGATGGCCCTGGGGTCGCTCACCTGTACATAGACCCCAAAAGCGGGGCTAGTTTAAACCAAAGGGCTTTTATTTGAACAAACTTGGAAGACACCCATTAGAAGATGTTTCATGATGTTAAGTTTTTACTATACACAAATAATGAAAACAATGACTTTTGCCCCCCTCCCCCTGGCAGGGCCAATTTTAACCCAAGGGCTTTTATTTGAACAAACTTGGTAGACACCCATTAGGACATGTTTCATGCTTAATATCTTAGCTCTAGCTCTTTGGGTTCTTTAAAAGAAGATTTTTACGTTTTTAATTACTATATGCGATATAGGGAAAATCAATGACCCCCTAGGGCGGGGCCAATTTTGACCCAAGGGCTTTTATTTGAACAAACTTGGTAAACATCAATTAGAACATGTTTCATGCTAAATATCTTAGCTCTAGCTCTTTGGGTTCTTTAAAAGAAGATTTTTAAGTTTTTACTCTATGTATATAGGGAAAATCAATGACCCGTTGGGCGGGGCCAATTTTGACCCCAGGGCTTTTATTTGAACAAATTTGGTAAACACCCATTAGAAGATGTGTCATGCTAAATATCTTAGCTCTAGCTCTTTGGGTTCTTTAAAAGAAGATTTTTAAGTTTTTACTACATGTATATAGGGAAAATCAATGACCCCTGGGGCTGGGCCAATTTTGACCCCAGGGCTTTTATTTGAACAAACTTGGTAGACACTAATTAGAAGGTGTTTCATGCTAAATATCTTAGCTCTAGCTCTTTGGGTTCTTTAAAAGAAGATTTTTTAAAGTTTTTACTATATGCATATAGGGAAAATCAATAACCCCCTGGGGCGGGGCCAATTTTGAGCCCAGGACTTTTATTTGAACAAACTTGGTAGACACTGATTAGAAGATATTTCATGCTAAATATCTTAGCTCTAGCTCTTTGGGTTCTTTAAGAGATTTTTTTTAAAGTTTTTACTATATGCATATAGGGAAAATCAATGACCCCCTGGGGCGGGGCCAATTTTGACCCCAGGACTTTTATTTGAACAAACTTGATAGACATCCATTAGAACATGTTTCATGCCAAATATCTAAGCTCTAGCTCTTTGGGTTTTTTAGAAGAAGATTTTTTAAGTTTTTACTATATGCATATAGAGAAAATCAATGACCCCCTGTGGCGGGGCCAATTTTGACCCCAGGGCTTTTATTTGAACAATCTTGGTAGACACTCATTAGAAGATGTTTCATGCTTAATATCTTAGCTCTAGCTCTTTGGGTTCTTTAAAAGAAGATTTTTTTATGTTTTTATTATATGCATATAGGGAAAATCAGAGATCCCCTGGGGCGGGGCCAATTTTGACCCAAGGGCTTTTATTTGAACAAACTTGGTAGACACTGACAAGAAGATGTTTCATGCAAAACATCTTAGCTCTAGCTCTTTGGGGTCTTTAAAAGAATTTTTTTTAGTTTTTACTATATGCATATAGGGAAAATCAATGACCCCCTGGGGCGGGGCCAATTTTGACCCCAGGGCTTTTATTTGAACAATCTTGGTAGACAATTATTAGAAGATGTTTCATGCTTAATATCTTAGCTCTAGCTCTTTGGGTTCTTTAAAAGAAGATTTTTTAAGTTTTTACTATATGCATATAGGGAAAATCAATGACCCCCTGGGGCAGGGCCAATTTTGACCCCAGGGCTTTTATTTGAACAATCTTGGTAGACACTCACTAGAAGATGTTTCATGCCAAATATCTAAGCTCTAGCTCTTTTTTTTAGAAGAAGATGTTTAAAGTTTTTTCTTTTGGTTGCCATGGCAACCAGAGTTCTGCATGGAATGGAATTCTTTGAACAACTTTGTTAAGGCTTCACACGAGGAACATCCCTGTGAAGTTTCATTATGATCTGCCTTATGGTTTCAGAGGAGATGTCGTTTGAAAAGTGTGAACGGACAACGGACTACGTACGACGGACGACGGACGACAGACGAAGAGTGATCCTAATAGCCCATCCTGAGCATATGCTCAGGTGAGCTAAAAACAAAAATGATAAAAAATAAATTTTGTTTTGCGGTTGCCAAAAAATTGTACCAATGAATACGAATGAATATGTTTCTTAACTTTAACGTGAACATAAAAAATAAAAATAGATTTTTATTATAAGCTATGATTAACATACCTTGTGTGTTTATGAATAATATACGGTTTATATTTTATAAACATTCCCTTCGTAATTAAAATGTATATTCAAATTATTTGTACATTTGAACTAATTACATTGGTGATCTTGAATTAATATCGACATCAACTTTTATAAGAAAATGCATTTTATAAAGTTGCATTGTACTTAGTTTAAAAAGAAACCCCAAAAGAGTGAGATAAATATCATTATTACGATTATAATACAAATTTATCTCAACAACTTCGTAATTTGACCATTCCTCAGTTTGTATGTTAAACTCCTGGCTTCTTCGCAAACATTCATTAAAGACAATTTCCAACCCTCTGTGTTTGATCCATGTTACAACAGTTCTTAATAATGTCAAGATTTAAATTACCTGGACGATATAGGTGACCAGTGATGCAAACGTTTTCACTTTCAGTTCTGTAAAGATATTGTTTATCTTAAATTATATAGAGGATCGTAGTCTACGTAAAATAATGCTTTTAAAGCTTATGAGATGCAATGAGTTACATCTGACCAAACATCAACAATAACAAAATAATAATAATAATAAAATAAAAAGACATTTTTACGATGCAAGTCAAAAATATGTCAATTTAGTTTTCTTTTAAAATTTAATTCTTAAAGTATTTTGGTACCTTCTGTGATCTACTTATGCATCTAAGGACCATTTCTTTGAAGTTTGGTCAAAATCCATCAAGGAGTTAGGGAGGATATGTTACTGAAAAAAAGCTATACAATATCGAATAGACGAACGACGGACTACAAACAGCCATCGCCTGGTCACGTGAATTAGTTAAAGTAAAGTGAATAAATTTAGAAATTACCCCTTGACATCTTTTGCTACAAAGCACATCTTCTTGTCTCCAAAAGTTGAAGATTCAAACATTATATCTGCTTTGTATACTTGCTGACCTTTATGTGTTAGAGTCTGTATTTTACCAACACTACACATGTCTAAATAGCTGACAGTCACCCGTATGTCTGTTAAATTCCTGCAATACGAGATCGATACATAAACTGAATAAGTTCTGTTTGGTAAGTTACGTTATATTATGTACCAAATTTTAGGTATGCGGCAAAATCTTCGCAACCAATCTTGCTTGTGTTGCTTTTTTTGAAAACTATTGATTATTCATTAAAATAAACCAAACAATACTTACATAGCTGAAACGACGTACAAAGCTATAAGACATGTAGAATGAATTGGGCAGTTAACCATCTGGCCAGGCGATGGTATATCAACGAAATATGGCAGCCCCTAAAATGTTTAAATAAAACCGTTTTACAGGTATCCTTATATTACATATAATTACGTCGCATTCAGATATAAGTTAATGACGAGCGGTTTTAAGATTTCACTTCATGTTCATTTGAAATTAATGTTGGACTTTAAGAGTTTTGAATTAAAATGAAATCAAATCTATGTATGGTATAAAAATGTCCAAATACATACCTGCGCATTACTAGAAGAATAGTGGAAAACGTCATCTGTACAGCAGAAGAAATTTGATATGAAAAAGTTAACATATTAACAACTTAAAGAAATCTTCTTTAAATATGATCATAGAAAATGATACAAATTACAATACAATTATTGAAACAACAAAAACAGTTGACCATTTTGATTTTAATCTCTGTAACTGCAAACCATTCACAGACAGTATTTATTGCAGCCTACACACCGACTGAATATATCAGAAAAAGGGGTCGAGTAAACTATGCATAAATAAATGAAGTTAAACGAAATGACTATCATAGAAGTTATAAACAATAACATTTCTTGTAAGTCCAAATATGAACATTTATCTATATTTCATTACTGTTACATACTTCGAACATTTATCGTAAAACACCTGTCTTCTTCAGATTCAACACTGAAATAAAAGAATAAGCCAATGTTTTTGTTCATTTAAAAAATCCAAATAAAATTGTTTTCATGTGTAAAGAATATTTTAAGCCTAAATGAAAGACAAAACCACTACATTAAATCATAGGCACAAGGATTCAAAGCTCAAATTTTAAATAAATAAAAAAAATACGATGGAACTAAACAAATAATAAGCTTGTTTTTTCTTTATCATATTATGCATACATTCTTAAAATGTGTATATGACAATTGTAATAACATTGAAAAAGGCAACATACACGTGCTGTAATATATATGTCTGTTTTTTAATTGAAATTATAAACAAGTCCATGCACTTCCGTTGCGTTAAAACAATGCGGCTGAGAGAACCTGTAGTATTTCATATACAAACTGTAATTTCTTTTTAAGAAATTAAAATCACATTAAGTGGCTATGCATAAAACATGTACATGAATCAATAAGCGGACGGAAACCACAAACTTCTTCCCGGCTTTTCGGCATTTCTTTACCTTTCTAAAGGGTATTCATTTAGATGCTTTACACTTCATCATTACATTTCGACAGAAACATAATAATCAAAAGATGTTTATTTTTGTAACGCTGTTTTTATTTGTCAGTTTGTACCCGTTAACTCGTTAAATGTCAGATTGATTTCTAATTGTAGACGGTAAAAATCAGATCAACTCTTTATGACGTAGATTTGTTTACATAAATGGCCTTTAGTTTCGAGATAAATGTCACATTTTATCATTGTCATGTTCCCGTGTCTCGACAACACGAGACAATTATAATTTATAAGTAATGTATATGAAATAACATTTGTATGCAAACAGTGATTGGATTGACCTGTATAAATCATATACATGTATTCAATATATTCTATTTAGTTTTTTGCCTTATTTTTTCACATGCATCGAAATGTTAAAAATAATATATTACGAACATAAGTAACAAAATTTACGTCACCAACCCTGTGTTATCACTGACACTAACACATAAAACATGATCTCCTTTATCAGCGTTGGAGGGTTTCCACGACATTGTTGTAGAACTAATTCGGGGCCGCTTAAGATCTTGCTGAATGTTTTGTAATATAATTGTTTCCGTTTGCAGTCCAAAGGCTTTAAACTTATCAATTGTACTGTAATAAAATACATGTAAAGTATGCAGAATAAAATTGACAATAAGTACAAATTAAATGTTACATTACAGTTAATACACTGGTTGCACTTTTAGATGTATCAAATCTTACAATATCATTATTGTAATCATGTTATTACAATAACCAACTTTAATATCAATCATTCTTAATTTATTCTTACATTTGTTTGTGGTGTTTATTCATACATCACGTGACTGTGTCATGTATGCATAATTGTCAAACACCTCACCTTGTTAAATATATTAACAACCCTTTAGTAGGTTTACAAAAAGCCTTATATTAATTATACCTTCTGTGAACTATATATACATATATGCCGGGTTACCAACATGCGCCATCCCTCAAAGAGGATTCGGATTTTTTTTGGATTTTTTTTTGTTATATAACAACCCTTCTGTACATAAACGTTCAATATTTGATACATAAAAAGAACAGGTTTGGTGAATTTAATAAGATCTTGTTTTCACGTAACATACATCTGTTTATCTATTAATTTTGTTTTACAATTTTATGCTCCATTTTGTTTTACTATAAAAAAACTGACAATAGTCGAGCACACTTGTACATGATTTTGAGATTAATTTTTTTATTAAGATTGTTGTCATTGGTGGAATTAAGAAGAGCTTTCATTTGGACGACAATAGCTAAACTTTACCCTGGTGGATACTTAATAGTAATACCAGGTGCTAGGAGGGAAAGGGGGGGGGGGGGTAGACGGTAGCTTGCTCTTTCCAGAAGCCGTCCATGAATAGGCTCAATCAAACCGAGCTTGGAACAGCAGGTTTCAAGTGTTGCGTGTCAGCCGTAAAACGGTGCACCTTATCTAATTTCAGTGTTATATTTATAGTTTCTTTTGGATCTTTGATTGCAAAACTTTTTATAGTTGAGGACTGAATACTACTAAGATGCGTAGGAGATGTTGTTTCCCATGAACAGACCCAACCAAACCGAGTCTGAATTATCAACTTTGCCTTGTTTTATTGCTCTTAAAGGATCTTCCCGTTTTTCTTGAATTTTATAATCATAATACCAATGTCATATTAGAGGAACCTGATAGCTGATTTAATTGTATATTGTTACGAGAGGGATTTTATGTTAAGTCTTCTTATTCTCAAAAATGAGAAAATAAGAACACCTAAAGAAAGCCAAACACGGGAAAATTGAAAATGTTGCAGGCTCGGTTTGATTGAGCCTGTTCATGGACGGTACTGGAAAGTGCAATTTACCGTCCACGACCCTTAGCACCGGCTTAAGCAGAATTCAACATTTAACATGAACTGGTACAATATGGAATTTTGAAACATCCGCAGATGTGTTCATATGGCGGTTATCATAGAACCCCTTAATGTGACACGTAAGTGCCATTCCATGTAAAGCGGCATATGGTCGTTGTTGAAGTAAAAAAAAATGCGTGTGCCCTTAACGAGAAAACAATGGGCGGAACTAAATAAAATGGAATTTTGAAAGGGGATCAGAGGTTATGAAGCTCACAGATTATACGTCAAAAGACAAATTAAAAAAGCAGGCCACATATCCTAAGGGTGATTCAACAGTATTCAAGTGAAGAATATTGGAACCACCCAACAAGAAAATAGCCGAATAGAAAGAACCAAATCACCACAAGTACAACAATAATATCGTTCTGAACGATCTTTAAGGATCCGAAATATAACATCTCTGATTTAATGTACGGGGCGACTTTTTACAGCCTCCACATGGCACAAACAACGCTGATGTGGCGACAAAATAGAGAAAATAAGAACCCGTAAAGAAAGCCTAACACGGCTACAATTTCTCTTAGAATTCAAAATTCAAGCCTCTCGGCAGGAAGTTATACATTGCATTAAATAACACTCCCTCTAACCAGATGATATCCTTAACATGAATTATCCTTATTTTGATCAAATAATTTAAATAAAATCTTAAAATTAGATTAAATAAAATCTTATAAATATATCAAAGTGAACTTGAATGAAAAATTTTAAAACAAACTTTTCATCTTTTTTAGTTTTAAACATTTCTATTATTTACAATATCATAGTAACTATAAAAAATCTATAACAAAGAGTTGATTTTGATTTTTAGATATTGTAAGCTATTCACATGTATTTCATGCAACATCATATGGGGTACATATTTTTAAGTAAATTGGATTTTCCAGGGCCTGCTGCGTGTGGATGATTTTAATAAACGCATAAACACAATTTATTTATTACTGGCAAATTTCAACAAGGCTATCGCTATCATAAATTACGTAAATATTTTACAAAGTTCTACCTTCGTAATTCAGATGATATTTTAAAATTTAATTGTACTTTAAAAGCTGTTTACGACTAGGTACTAGATTTTACGGCGTACCGCAAGCTTGGTGTTTAACCCTTTACAGTTGCAACCTACGCTTCTATCTTTTGATTGCATCTGATGGACAAAGTGGAAGACTCTATGATAGACAGTTCTAAAGGTATTTCGAACTGAATTGTTTTAATTTTCGTTTTCTGTCTTGCTTTGTAGGCCCTTGTAGGTGATTTTATTGTTGCTTTGCCTTCCTTTAAGGCATCAAGTTCTTTTGTTACGGTCCATTAGGCAGTACTGTTTTGAATGATCATTTATGTGTCTTATTTATTTCATCTATTTCCATAACAATTGTTAGAATTTCACTTGTAGGGGATTTATTTTATTAACACTGTCCTGTCAGTGGAAGAACATACAGGTAATTGAAAGCTACCGTCCACACCCTCTAGCACTGGCATCAGCAGAATTTTCAATTTAACATAAACTGGTATTGGTACAATTTTAAAGGAAGTGCAGAAACATCCGAAGACGTATTCATACGACAGTAATAGTGGTATCTTCAATGTAAAATGTTCGGCAATTTCAAGACATACAGCGTATTGTCCCCCAAGTAAAAGAATGCTTGAAGGCGAAAACTATATAAAACAGATTTATAAAACGGGATAAAAGGTGAAAGGACAATTTTTAAAAGCAGGCATAATATCTAAATAGTTATTATATAATATTCAAATAGGAATAATAGAACAACGCAACTCGATCAAATAGAAAGAATTAAAATTACCACATTCACAATAATATTGCCAAGCAGAACGATTCTCATATAAACATTTTGTTTTATCTGACTTTGCATGTTTCTTGAAACCGATGGTCAACAGAGTAATGATACATGTAGATAAAAATAGTAAACTTTTTAAATGACTGTCGACTTTAACAAACAAATTCCATTTCATTTGACACATAACAGGTGTCTAACATATACATAAATGAACAGTTTTTTTTTGCATACTATTCAAATCTTTAGGAGAACTTACAGCGAAATCATGATTATTAAATTGGTAAAACATTTTTAATAGATTATTAACACATCACTCTAATATCACTTTTTCAAAATCAACTTATGTTTATTTACCGACGTAAATACTGTCATTCCACATGATCAGTATAATAGAGGGATCGGTCTTTCTCCAGCCTTTTATTATAATCTAAAAAAATAGTGGGTGGGGTACGATTTGACCAGTAATTCCTTAAATAACCAAAAGCAAATTACAAGTATTAACATTTCCAAAAATACTTAGAACCGCTGTACAGCTATGAATATAGAAATAATATTTTATTTCTTGCCTAATACTTTATTGTATGTGGTCAAAACATAAAGCCAACAAAAATCCCTGTCGGGATTCGAACCCACAGCGGTGAGGGGGCAAGTGGTGTGAAGTGAACGACCTTAACCACTCGACCACGGACGCCCCTGCAATAAGAATTAGCTTATTGTGTAATTAACAACTGACAACACTCATAGTATTAAACTCGCCCAGAAAAAGCATTTATAAGGTTTTTTTCTTTAAGTGCAAGTTTTGGAAAGAAAAAAATACTCTTTTTTTCTCTTATCTGAAATGACATGTAGCAAAAAATATTGCAATTTGCTGTGTTTATCCTGCAAAAGCCTAAAATCTTGTATAGAGCTCATGATATTTTTCAGATGTACAAATAGGTTACCCGACAAACATGGTGGTTGAGTGAGTCCATTTATGCATCCCTTGTTAAAGTTTTTTAACGTCCATTTTGTTATCATGTGGTATAACATTTTCGCTTTGGCTAAAGGCAATCGGTGTACATGTAAACTGTTCAAATCTTGTTAATTGTATATATCGCCGTCCAAGAACGGCGATAATCATATTTCTTGTTATTTATGTTAATCTGTTGCATTGACTGCACAAAAGAAGCTACGATTAAAGCAGAAACTAAAAATAGCGGAAAATAATTGATAGAACAAATAAGTACGAATTACAACATTACATTTTAAAACTATTTTAATGTAGCGCCTCCCATATTATATATCATGCTGCTTAATTACGAACAAAGATTTCTTCAGGTATGATATGAATTCATTAAAGCATTTCTCCCATAAATAAATTACAATAGTGGAATAACAAAATAAGTAATAAATATTTCTCTGTTTAAGCAAAGACAAGAGTGTCATGGCAAGAACCAAAAAGTTAAGCATTATTTTGTTAATTTATATATAAACAAGCAATTATCATAGTATTGCAAGCAATCCACAAGTCCCCTACCGGTTAGAACCCCAGCAACATTCTGATGTGTCATTGGCCATTCAATTTTACCAGTGAATGAATGACATGAATGAACTTAAATCTTTTGAGTTCTAAGTTTGTGTATATCACAGTAATGTGTTAAGTTTCCCTGCCTAGTAAGGAAATTATGTTTATACAACCTTGTCATATTATAACGATGTGGGATTTTAAAGTAAATCCTATAAGGAATGAAGACGTTGGAATGAAAAATTCCAAGTTCAAGGGGGACATAATTCTGGAAATAGTCTTGCTAGAGTATTTAACCTTCTCAAAAATGTTGAGTGATAATAAGAAACATATATATGAAGTTTGAAGTAGATACATTAGGAAATAAAGAAGTTATTTAAAAAGACATTTTTTCCATAAAAATTCTAAGTTCAAGGGAGGTAATACTGATAATTTTTGTGCTAGAGTTGTAAACCATGTCACATATGATGTGTTTGATGACCAGAAACTTATATTTAAAGTTTGAAGTAAACACCTTAAGAAATAAAGAACTAATAGTGAAAAAACTGAAAGATTTAAATCAGAAATCTTGAAATTTAGGCTATTTGTTGCCATAGCAACCAGAATTTTCAACATAGGAAGAAAAGAAAAAGATGTGCATAATCTTCATACTGCCATCTATCCATATATCCAGTTTCATAAAAATATTTTCAGTACTTTTTGCGTTATCGCTGGATCCAGTTTTGTGAACGGACGGACGGACTGACGGACGGACGGACGGACGTTCTAACAGGAGAGTAATTATGTGGCTACTCTATTGTTCTCTCTATTGTTCTTTTTAGCCTCACAAAAGAAAATAGCCACATAAAAGCATTACGGAATGAATGACATCAAAGAGAAGGAACAGTTACCTTTGTCTCTCTAGCCACATAATTACTCTCCTGTGAGTGCGGACAGACAGACGGACGAAGGGTAAACCTAAAGTCCCCTCCTGTTAAACCGGTAGGGGACTTAAAAGCAACAAACAATCTGTTTTCTCAAATGAAGTTAAATCTCTTTAAAACGCTTTAAATGATATATTCCGTGCACAATTTTACTTGAAATACAAAAGTGGAAATAAATATGAGCCAACATTAATATTCTAGAATATTTAGGATTCGGTGGTCATCTTTGACGCCATCTTGGGTTTTCAAGCTTCAGGTTTATTCTATGGAGAATTTAGCTAACAAATACGTGATAGAGTTGATAATCTGGACGACAATCAGTCTATATTTTAGAATTAAGTTCGTTTAATTAAGTTAAAATTTTAAACATATAAATTAAATTACTTCGATAAAGAATAAATTTGATACTTTAGAATTGGTATTACTAACCTTAAGAACTCCAACAAAATATTGTATATGAGATGTAGAGAACATGTTAAGCATGTGATAAATCAATGACATTGACACTTGATAAAATAAAATATGATAAATACTTACGTATTCGCTGATGCCTTTGCGTATATTTCTGTCGACCATGCTGAGCCCGCATATATAATAAATGTATGTCCGCTTTCCAAAGTCGGTTCCACAAATTCAGGGACCGCTAGATTTTGCAACACTTGCACAGTAAACTATAAAGATGAAGATAATTGTGTTAACATTATCTGCTTTAAACTGTATGATTTGTTTTACTAATATTGTCAATGAAATACAGTTTATATACATGCTATTGTCTTATAATATACTATATGAATAGAAAAAGAGGAAACCGAATATCGTTTAAACGTTTAATATTAATTATAATCTATTTAACAGGATATCAATGATAATAAAAATAATACAAATAAATTCACTAGGAAAAGATACCTGAACTGAGGTTGTACTAAGTGAAAATTTTCCGGCAAGAAATACACCTGAACCGTAAGATATATCCCTTCTGTTGTAATCACGGACACTGACTGCTACTGCAATCCAACTGTTGTCGGCGTATCCTCCAGCTTGTGATGCGTTGATAGAAATTGTGCAGTTCTTCATCATAAAATATTTCAATGAACGGATTATCACTTTACATATTTAAAATATGTGCATATAAGCTTTATTTTTCATCGGATGGCTGCAATTTAACGCCCAAACACATTACAGGCTAGTAACAAGCGATGCCAATATACTAGATCTAACGGTTATTTGTTAATAGCATAAATAAATTGACAATCAACTGTATTAAACATCTGGGGATGTTTATAAATTCAAAAATTCACCATTTTTTGTGTTTAAATGTTGAATTCTGCTTAAACCGGTGCTAGCTAGGGGACGTGAACGGTAACTTGCACTTTCCAGTACCGTCCATGAACAGACTTAATCAAGCCGAGCCTACAACTTTTTCAGTTTTTTTTTGTCTTGGGATTTTCTTTAGTGATTCTGCTTTTCTCTATTTGATAACCTGTTAACCCTTAACCTCAGGAGCATATTGTGAAAAATGGCCGATTTCAAGTTCAACCTGCTTTAAAAATATGAAAAATGCTTCAATACTAATTCAAACTGACACAAATGTTGACTGGATCATAGCCTCTGTAACATCATGCTCAATCTTAAATTTCCTGTTACCATGGCAACGGGGGAACGTATGAATTAAATACATATCAATTTCTGTGTTTTCTTTTTCTCTAATATATATTTTTTTCAAGATTTTTTCTATATTATATTTGTCTCAGATTATAAAATATGTAATTATTTAAGCGCCTATTACATGTCAATTACTCACTTAGGAGAACTTGTCTTTCATTCTAATCCTGTTTTTTAAGAATATTTGAATTGCTCTCTGTATATTGTGAATCATAACATGTATATATATTCTGAGAAATAAAATATGTTTAAACTAAATTAAACTAACGGGGGAACGTCTCAAATTTGCCAAATTCACTATTTTGCATTGTTTTTTTTCTTCTTTAAAACAGATTTCAAAGTGCTGCAACTTCTCAATGGATTGAGATAGAGTGAAAAGGCTTTTCAGCGCTGGTTACAAATTACCTTACGATCGACCTGAGGCCATTTTAGCCTGTTACATGTTCAAAAGTTTCTTTGCAATGAGGGGGGCTGCCGCCCCCTTCAAACCCCCCTAAACAGAAGGGGGTACATCCCCATTCTGGCAACCACTTGATGTACCTTTTATGATGGGGGGGCACCGCCGAAAAAGTGATCACTTTTTAACAACATTTCTCAAACGAAAAACAGTGTTTGGGGCCTAAATAGGGTATTTTTTCACTGTTTGAGGCCTCAAAAGAGGGGGTACGAAAATCCGTCAAAACACGTCTATATGAGGTAAAGGGTTAATTAGGAATACAACACCTATTTTGTCCAATCGCTTTTCAAAATGAAGTCAATTGTATCGCCTATTTTGTTATTTTAGTTTGTCCTTTTTAATGTCCTTGTAAATGGTGTACACTCAGCGAAAGTACTGAATGAACTGCACATTTTAAAATAAAAAATAATAATTTGTAAAAGTATATGAACCAACCTCATAAACAATTACGTTTCTTGGCGGGTTCGCAGATATTATTCCAGCTTCTATATTTCTTGCTAGCTCACATTTGATGAAATCTCCCTCTGCATCCACTACTGGGATGTAAAAAGTCGATACCCTGTCTAGTGCTATCCTGTCAGCATTGTAAAATAAAATAAAATAAAATAAAAAAATAATTGATTAAGAATTGATTGAAATTAGAAGTTTTGAATTATGTTTACATATGTTACTTTAATCAGCCGTATCTAAAGATTAACAAGCAATCAAAGTTTATCATATGGATAGAAACTAATTCATCAGATACCTAAGTTTAAGATAACATTTGTATAAATTGTTGTATACAAATATCATGCTGAATATATACCGAAAAATATCATTTTATTTAGGACGCAGATAATTTGTCTATGACTAATGGAAATATATCAATAAAAGGTGAGAACATTTTTTTTCTTTGAATGATCTTTTGATTTCCATATAAATATTTGTTTGGTTTGGCTACGGACACTAACGAATGTTTTCAGTAAGTATTCTGCTTTTCCAAGTAAATGCTTATTTCCTAAATAAGTGACGAGGGTCTTGTTACTACAGACTTAGATGAAGAATGAAGCTGGGTCCGTGGAATTACCCATTTTCTGCGCATTGTCTGAAACAAGTGTTAAGCGCTCAATTTGTGGTTCCGTTAATTGCTGTGTTGCCGGAAGCTCAAGCTCTTTCAGAAACATCATTTGTATAAAGAACTTACTTTCATTATACCGACCTATTATCAATAAACAAATCAAAACGAAGTATTGGCAAACGTTTTTATCTTATCTGACAAACTTTATATATCATTTGTTCATATATAGAATGTTTTTCTACGTGTGAATGTCATTGAAACAGTCAGTACACATGTTATTATTACACTGATGTAGTTATGACTACCAGGGAATCACTTTTTTTAGTCTTTCGGGCAACTGGAAACGCTTCATTTAATTTCATGTATGTAGAAAGTATTAAATTTAGTTTTAGAAAAGAAATCAGTAATCGGCGGGCGACCATGCTTGCTTGTATTATGATGCGTTTATTTGCAAATAAATCTGTTTTATCCTAATTGATGATTTCATAGTGAAAATTTCCAAAATATAATTTCACACTTTCATTCGAAGAGTCTAATTTTAAATTTCCTAGATATTTAAAAACTGATCTTAAAGATGTTTCGGCATATTAAGTATAAGAGTGATATCTGAAATAAATTCAGTACAAGCAATGGCAATCATTGGCTAGAAAGAATTAAAGTACCAAGCGTTCGTTAGGCAGCCTTTCTAAATTAGTAAAATAACTTCCATCACGTTTATTTACATTTATGAACATCGCGGACAACGAGCAACTTTAAACTTTTAAAGGATAGCGAATAATAGTTAAACAGTAATCTACTTTAACTGTTAAGACTATTTATTAAAGAAAAAAAAACATGTTTTGTTTAAAGGTAATAACATCATCGTAATATGATGCTCATTTTTTAAATTAATTTTTTTCTTAGTTCTAGTCAGAGAGTCGTCTGAAAATGAGGCTATCGTTGGTAAAGAATAACACTATTGTTTTATGTAAGATATAATTTTATTTCGGCTCGTGAGTTTTACAAACGTTATTTTCAGTCCAGGTCGATAACAGCCTTTTTATTGGTTGTTGTCTAAGTTAGGTTAAAAATCAAAATTGTATTACTACACTTTTTTGAATGAATTTGGGCTTTTGTATCCTTTCAATTTCATTATGTCAGACACGTTTACAGATACCCGATTGTATCTTGATTTATTATAGAACTTCTTCCGCTCGTTGTTTAGCGTAGATGATGCAGTATTTCAAACTATTTCGTTTAATGATCTGTGCAAGGATATGTTTCATTTGTTATTTGTTAGTGTTTTTATTTGTTTGGGTCGTCAGACAAAACAAATAATGGTAGAAAGATTTCAGACCCTGATATGCGTTTTTGCAAAATCCGCAAGTAGTCCGTCACGAACTCATCGAAGCGGTGGCTTCCCTTTATAAGAACACTAACGCCGAAAAATTAAGGGGAGATTACTGCATAAAGATTGTCAAATGACAGGCGCATTTATTTTCAAACCTTATCAGGGAAGAAAAATAATTCTCGATTGGTCGAAGATTTCTAATATTGTGTCATTCTTTAACATTTCCGCAAATTACCGGAAATATGCTCAAATGATTTTGTTACGCCGATGAATATCATTTTAATCAATGAAAATTGCTCGGCTATTTCCGTAAAGCTTCGGATTATTGTAATCGCCTAAATGAAAATTTGTTATTTAGACTTTCTGAAAAATAAAGTAAGGATGTTGACTCTAGGACAGGGACAAATTTAGGCAGTCGACGATAGATAATCAATTTCTACCATAAGTAACGGCAGTGTTTGAGAACATGTTTACCGTAAACAAAATATAATAATTAATAAGGATTTCAAACCCTTATTTCGAATAATGTGGTTTGCTTCCGGCTTCTTAAAACTTCCCCGTGGTCCAAGTGTTACAGACTCGTTTAGGGAGCGAAAGGTCTGGGGTTCAAATCCCGGGTAAGGCAACTCATGTTGTTTTATTTATTTAAAAAAAATGTTTAAGCCAAATAAATATTTAGTTGAATATGCCAATTTACTAAAGTCATAACACTAGAAACAGCATTGCCGGCACTATACAAAAACAAATTGGTTTATAATCTCACAACCTTCACCTTTCTGACATTCTGATACCAAAACAAATTCAGCGCCTTCTGTGTTTAACTATCATAAGCGACAGATAAGCTTCCTGATAACAAGGCAATAAATTAGGGGCGAGACACTTCCACATTCCACTAGGAGCAACAGAACGCAGTAACTATATGAGTTTCCGATTTCAGGGGGATTACTTCTCTTTGTCATTGCCAAAACCGCTTCCGTAAAAAGGCGAATGAGGTAAAGACAGTTGAAAGTAAAGACCAATAATCAAATAATGTTTTTATTACATTTTTTGTGTGTGGTCCCCTTTGGACATTCAGTGGGTGATACGTTCAAAATAAGATAGCAATAAGACGATGTTATCATTTTCAGTAAATTCAGTAAATAACATAAATGTTTGGATGGTTACTCTTTTTTAATCTTCATTCTTTATGTAAAATTAACCAGAGATAATCATGCAAGTACTTGTTGACACCAGAGCTGCATCAGTACTTAGGGTGTAGTACTTAAGTACCAGTACCAGTACTTGGCAAATTATGCAGTACCATTACCAGTACCAGTACTAGATTTTAGCTTGGTACTGCAGTACCAGTACTTTTGGTGGTACTATTGGTGAAGTAATTAAGTATCAGTACCATTACTTTTATATATTCATTTAAGTTTGAATAAATACACAGTGTCAAACAAATAATTGCAAATATTATTCAGCAAAGAAATAAAATCATAATTTACTTTAAAGTTAACATAACATTTTTACAACTTTATAGTTTAACATACTTTTTTACAAACAATATTAACAAAATATATTCATTTCATATCTTATTGTTTAGTAACCAGTCAACTCTAATACAATGCAATCATCTTTCATTTAAAACACAACAGTCTTTTGTTGCATTTCACACCTTGACACGTCTTATCAATTTATACCAAAGTAAATTACAACTTTTTATGGTGCTAACAATATCACTTGAAGTAGGATTATTTAGAATAGAAGCAATTAATTGATGATTATTTTCTCTTTTACTAGTAAATACAAAGTAATAAAAAATTTTAATAAGGATATTTTGGGGTAGAGAGTTATTGAGTTTGTTTATAACAATTTAATTTTTACTTAAAGTTTTTGGTGCTTTTTTATGATGAATACTATGTTAACATTTGAAGAAATATTGCAGCAAATTATCTATAGTTTTGATAACTTACTTTTTCACAAAAATAAAATAATGTAATTTACAGCTTTATTTTATGAAAAAAATTGATGCTATTTTATCAAAACCAAAAAAAAGTACTGCCTAGTAATGTAGTAGCAGTACCACTTTTTAAGACAGTAATGCAGTACCAGTACCAGTAGTAGCAAAATTTTGTAAGAGTAATTCAGTATCAGTACCAGTATTTGCAAAATCCCTGCAGTACGTACTGCCGTACCAGTACCAGCAGTACCAGTACCAGTACCAGTAATGCAGCTCTGGTTGACACATATGCTTTTAAAAAGATATCAAATAACAAATCGTTTAATTTTAACATCCCAATTATAAAAGCGCTAATTAACGGTAAATAAAAGGGAAGTATTTGTCTCGAAGAAGACAAAATAGATAAATACAGAATCCCTAAATAAAGCCCAAACGCGGCAAAATTGAAAATGTTGCAGGCTCGGTTTGATTGAGCCTGTTCATGGACGGTACTGGAAAGTGCAAGTTACCGTCCACGCCCCCTAGCACCGGCTTAAGCAGAATTCAACATTTAAACATGAAATAGTAAAATTTTGAATTTAGAAACATCCGCAGATGTGTTCATACGGCGGTTATCATGGAACCTTCAATGTGACACAGGAGTGCCATTCCATGAAAAGCGGCGTAATAAAGAGCGTGTGCCCTAAACGAGAAAACAATGGGCGGAACTAAATAAAATGGAATTTTGAAAGGGGATCAGGGGTTATGAAGCCTGCGTATCACAGATAAGACGTCAAAAGACAAATTTAAAAAGCAGGCAACATATCCTAAGGGTGATTCAACATTATTCAAGTAGGAATATTGGAACCACCCAACTAGAAAATGCCGAAAAGTTGAAAATAAAAATACCACAAGCACAACAATAATGTCGTGCTGAACGATCTTCAAGGATCGAAAATATAACATAATTGATTAAATGTACGGGGAGACTTTTTTACAGCCGCCACACGGCACAAATAACACGGATGTGATCATAAAATAGATAAATACAGAATCCCTAAAGAAAGCCCAACACGGCAGTCAAACTGTTTTCAAGAAGACATCAAATAAGACATTCATAAAATCAAAACTACTAATACGAGGGTTGTTCAAAAAGTAATAGGACTGCAGCTCTACTGTTCACATTTTTAAATTAACGTACACAATTTTACATGAGACAAATATCGGAACATGTTCTCTATATACAGTGAAAAAATCAAAACAAAA